AGAAACCAGTTACCTAATTCAGCCATACACAACTCTTCCAGCCCCCCAGTGAATTCCAGTAATGGGTTTGTTATATCACACTTCATTGGTGTCATCTGTCACACAGACATAAATGGATCAGCCTTTGATTTAAAACTACCCTCCACTAGCCAGACCCAATAGTAGAAGTGACTTCTTCTGGATTTTCTGGTTAAAAGCAGGTCAGTGTCAATGTTATACCCAGCTTTGCATGCTAATGTCTTCCTTTCATGCATGCATCATCGCCAATGGAAGAGAACATTTGTTTTCATTTCCTGATATTTTAGTTTATTAAAAACGTGCTCTTAATTTCTCAGATCCTTGACTGCACATGCTGTCAGGATGCAGGTTGAAACATTTTGGTCCCTATTTCCCCCAGCTGCTGTTTGAACTGTAAGTCACACTAACGACTTGTGATCATTTCTGCTTTTGTTTGGGCCAGAGTTTTGATTTGTTTTAGCTGACCTGAAGGTTTGTTTTAGGCTTCAACCTCATCTGTTACTCAGAGAAACTGGAGGCTCCACTGTACTACGTCAACACACCGCTTTCTTGGAAATAAAGACTCCATACCATGCTTATTGGGTTATGATAAGCAAATGGGACAGACAGAAGGCCTTGATTTTTAAAACCAGTTTGACTGCTGTACCCCTAATTAACTTGACCTGTCAAGGTGTGATTTGAACCCTTTACATGATGGTTGGAGCTAGCTGTCAGGGTGAGCTGGCCCTGACTCAGCTACAATTTGGAGACAAAGATGAAAAATTGTATTGGAACTGGCAAAGGCCTGTGGAGACGCAGGTTTTTGGCATACTCAGTAAAAACAAGGACTTCTAGAGAAGAGTGGCAAGACACCAATGTATTATGCTCAAGTGGCTTGCAGATGAAGACCAATGAAAAAAATGCTTGCAGAGATTGGAACATGCTTTGTAGTTTGTTTCTTTCCTTGCTGCAATTCAAAACATACTGTATATAGTATTACAAATGATTAAGGAAGCTACATGTCTAGTACTTCTCCTAGTTAATGGCAGGGTTGCTAAGCTGAACTGGTGAAGTTTAAATGAATGGGTGTCAGGCCCACTATTCACTTTTAGATTTCAGCATTATATGACTTTGGGTGATTGTCTTACCTGTATAAAAATGATCTGTGAAACACATAGCATTATTGAGGGTGTGTGCAAATATGACTAATGGACAATGATGAACAACCTAGAGAAGTAGAGGGTCCTTATTAATATCTAATGGCGACAGTGAATGAGGAAGGAATAGTTGGTCAAAACTGAGTTTGAAAACTGGATCTCTGGAAGCAGAGCAGGAAGTTTGTAAGACCACCATAACCAGTGAGCTAATAGTGTGGGTTTCATTGTGGCTGAGAAACAAATACTCAGATAGATATCCTGTGAATTCAGCTAATGGAGATTTTATTGGAAGAGATGGACCAGAGGAAGTACATGTTTTGTAGGCAACTGGTAGAGAATAAATTGCTATGACTCCAAGGTTTTACTTTGCCAGAAGAATTAAAATGGGGAGACACAAGACCTGAGATTCTAGCTGCAAAAGTGCAGGAGCAAGGAATATAATAAATGTTAAAGTAAGTGAAAACTGCAGAAGGGACATTACAAAGTCATCCCTTTGCACTTCTACAGCATTTGTTCCCCAAAGCATGATACCATCTGTCTCAGCTATGGCTCATGTGAGATAGAGATGTGTGACCCTGACAAAAGGTGAAAGATAAAAGGATAATTTACAAGAGAAGCTTAATTTAATGATGCACTGTGGGTTTTTGTGACATTGAAACATCATCCACCTCAATGTATTTTGCTTCCATTCTAACCTCCTCAAAGTTTCTCTTCTGCCAAGTTTCCTGTTATGCCCCCAGCCTCTCTCAGTGATCCCGAAAGATCCTGAAGTGCTGATTCAGGGACATACATCTCAATTTATAGATGCATGTAAGTTACTGCAACTCTACCACCTTCTCTGCTTCTATCTACATTCTCGGTTCTGGAAGCCAACTAGTCAGAAGTCTTTTCTGTGATATGTCTCCTATAGGTTTTGAACTTCAGTGTTAGTAAGCTACCCCCTTTGCTGATTCCTTTCGTGCCCTGTTAAAAAGGAATTTGCATCTCTTTTGAAAGTGACTAGAACAGTGGCCAAGAAAAACCTGACTGTTAGGCAGTAGAAATGACTTTGACTTCCTCAGCAGAGAAAACTGACATTTATCTCAGGGCATTAATTAGCATTTAGGTTGAAAACAATTTTGATCATTTCAGAAGTGTCAGCTTGTGATGTGAGCTCCTCAGTTCTCCAAGGCTCATCCAACATCAGTAGCTGGATAGGTCAGAGCAACAGTAAAAAGAAGCAGAGAACACCACATAAAGTACTTGTGGGGATTCAGCTTCAGTCCACCTCAGTTGAGAGTCAGTGCTTGAGAGGATGTGCTGGTGATATCTGTGAGATTTTCAAAATAAGTTGTAAAATCGGGGTTCTAAGATTCATAGGCAAAGCTCCCTTGAGACTTGTAGTGAGAGTAGCAGTGTCACTCAGGCAAATCTGATCAGGTATAATTTTAAATAACTAGACGCTGGCTTCTTGTATTTTCATTCACAAAAGAACTTGCTGCATCATACTGGTTATCTGAAAAGTCTAGTCCTCTTACACCTTTCTCATAGCAGTATTTCATGGATTGGTTAAGAGGACTCTGTAAAGTCTATCCAGGGCCTTAGAATCCATTTGGGTTTGTTTGCTGTGAAACAGTGTTTGTCTTGCCCTCTGTTAAGTTGCTGTCCAGATGTCTGTGTGCTGCTTTGAAACTCCAACTCTCCATCCCATTGAGGAAGTGACCTCTGCAGGTATTCAATTCCAGTAACAATTCATTAAAGCATTTGGGAACGCTGCAGGGGTATGGCTTGTACATTTGTGAATGAACTTACTATTGTTTTCTAACATCTATCACTACAGCACAGATTGATTAAGTGTGCACATATTCATTTCAGTGTGGTTGCTGCCTGAGTTGAAAGAATCATTTTGACACCTGTAATCACAAAGGCTTGTGTTGAATGAATGTTTTATTATTTAATCTTCTGCCGACCAACTCTCAGATTTGTTTTAGCAGCAACACATGGTCTTAATGATATTCCCCAAGGTTAAGCAAGCACGAAAACCCAACATAGTGTAGGGCAACAAGGAGATACTATATAGAGAAGGAAGACTTGTTTTTTGTTTAAGGCCAAGCCATTTGTCTCAAACACTGGATTCTACTCTTTCTTCCACCAGAATTGGCTCGTTCCACCACAAAACACTTCACCTTTCTGTGCTAGTCTTTCACCATCTGTGAAATGACAGCAGGACCCTTAATGTGTGCTGAAAATCTTTAAATAGATCCTGAAAATACTTCCAGATTTTCATTTTGAAGGCACAAAAGAGTAAAAAATCCTAATAGCTGCGTAGATTCTACACTGACGTGGCAAACTGTAATCTCTCAACAGGAGACATTTGGATGTATTTGACTCAAATGTGTTCTAATAACTGACTAGCAGAATTACTACTCTGGGAACAAGACAGTAGTTATATGATTTGCTCCAGATTTCTAATACACAGAGATGTTTTCCAGCTTTGCTGCACAAGTAAAGAACTGTGTCTCCTTACTGTTGTTTTTTCTGTCTCAATAAGTACACTAATTTTTCTTCTGAAGACTATTGGAATTGTTTGCGTCACATCTGAGCTTAATTTGCAGTGTGCAATTAATGCCAAACCTGTGCGATCAATTCAAGACATGAAAACCAAAAGGACTGTGACTTCTCTAAGGAAGAGGGAAGGAAGCGAAAGGATTCTGGTGAGGTTATAGGAATGTCTCTAGTCTCTAAGTGTGCTTTTCTATCTCCTCTAAAAAAAGATTCCAATCATAGTTACCTTCCTTCCCATCTAAATTGCTTTGAGATTAATGAATTAAAAGGGTTGTAATTAAACTAAGTATCTGAATGTAGAAGAAATGCTAAGTCAGGGCCTGAACAAGAGATTGAGCACCTAGTGGGAAGGCAGGGCCAACACAGGGGAGCTCAGGTGCATGCAATGCAATGCAATACCTCTGAGTGACTGGAAGGGTGGAAATGGGATCCAGCCCTTCCCAGACCTCATTTAAGAGTTGGCCATGGAGGCAAGGGTATCTTGCTGGATGTCCTTGTCTACTTGAGGCTCTCCCAAGGGTAAGCAGATTATTATTATTATTATTTTTTCCCGTTGTTTCTGTGTCTATGACTACTGCATTTGGGCTTTTTCTCGCTTGCTGCAGCCTAGGACTTTGCTACCCTTCTATTACTGTTGTGCTTTTCGTTGCGTTATAGCATTACACTGATAACATCAGTAATGTTTTTCTTGGGAATTTTTCAGAGCAATTGTACACTTATTTTAGAGGAAAGCCCTCTGCTTATTTAATTAGAACATTCATACCAAGGGAGGACCCTTTCCTCCAGTTCAGTAGTGAAGCCTGGCTACTCAATCCCGCTTCCTGTCTTATTTCTGGGGTTTATGGCTAGGTACAATGTGAGATGATACCCCTAGCAGGAATGGTTGCATTAAATGTATGGAGAAATATGTATTTTGTATGGCCTTTTGTATGGGAAAAAAAAACATTAAAAAAAAAAAAAAAAGAAGATAAGAGCTTAGAGAGTGCTGCTCATGCCACCCTAAAAGTGATAAACAGAAAATTAGGTTCTACTAATGTAGAATTTTCCTTCAGTTATTGTCAGCTGTGTTGTAAAAATAGGCAATGTTAATCCTATCCTCTGCAACACTCATAAAAGAAATTTAAGTACTTTCACTGATACTGTTTCTTTTTCTTTCCCTTTATTTCCTTAACATAAAGCTTTTGAGGAGGGCCCACCTTTCTCAGCTTACATGCATGGTATCTCTGAGCACGTGCTTTCCAACCTTCACCAGTCTTGAGCTGCTTGACATTAAGCTTTGTCCAAACCACAGTTGTTGCTTACCTCTCCTCTGGTACAGGGTACTGCATCTGAATATCTGGAAGTGCACATGGAGCCTTCCTCAGTGAGGTCATCCTGGAGCCCAAAAGTCGCAGTACAGTTGACAGAGAAATATTTGTAGGGCCTCCACGTCTGCCCATAGTCCTGGGACCTTTCCAACACCATCGCAGCTGGGCGAGGTGACTTGAAGACAGCAATGACGTGTGTCAGGTAGAACTCTGTTTCAAAGTCCAGCCTAATTTCTTCCCTGTGCACCCCTTGGGCAGACTGCCACCAGGACATTGGGTTTGCAAAGAAATCATCGGTCATGTCAGCAGGGAGGTGGGAGTTATCAGGCTGGTTGGCATTGCACTTGGTGCAGCGAGGCTGCCCGCAGCCATGGGAGGCTGGATGGAGGATGCTTTGGTCTGGGTAGGAGCAGTATAGCTCTGTGCTGTTCTGCCCGCACGTGGTGAGAGTGCTGGGTGTCCTCCCTGTGGCGAGGTTTCCCACCGGAGGGTTGCAGGAACGGCCACTGCAGCGGAAGGCTCGTAGCCTCACGGGATCTGAGACAGACAAAAGAAACAGCACTAAGCAGAATTTCTCAAACAGCTCTCAAGCTGTAAAACAGGTGACTGTGCAAAGGTTTGGAGTCCTTGCGTGGGGATGGATATCCAAGAGGACTTCTCAGGAGAGCTACTTCATCCTATCACGTGAAATTTGGGGGGAGTTTCTCCAAACATCTAGGCCTTGTTTTTAGGTGCCTGACTTGGAAATGGAGGTATTTAGGGAATAGCCTTTACCCACAAGCACTTGGAAGTCCTTGATAGCTGTTGAAAACGCAGTTGCATTAGTTAAACATGTAACTTAATAGACTGTCTTTTGTTTCCTTACTCTCACTCTAGTACAGCTCCTTATCTGAGGACTGACTCTGTGCAAAACATTTATTTTCACTGTAATCAGAAAAGAAAACTGAATTGTACTCTGCATTATAGATACATTAAAAAAGAGATGATTCCTCCCCAGAAAAATTACAGACACTATTTACACAGGCAAACATGTGAAGAAAGCATTTCTCTCTATAGTTATGTCTTACTGACCTAATTTTGAGAGGTGCTGAATTTCTCACACTCCTACAGAGATCAGGTGAAGCTGCAAATGCTTGGCAGAGTTGAAAATAAAGTCTTTCTTTTGTTTAAACACCTTGACAAGGAGATAGGTGAATGTATTCTATTTGCCAAATTGGCAAATACTGGCAAGAAAAGTTTTGGTATTTCCAATGTATGCATTTACTTATTTCTAAATTATGAAAGGGCAGAGATGCTGTTTGGATATTTGTGTTTTGTGACACCAGATTTGCAGGTCAGCCCCAAAACGTTATTACCAAACTGGAGAAAACTGCATCTGTAATGCCATGGTGCTCTCCCTACAACTTAGCTGCCTAGAATGAGTTAAAAGTCTGACCTTGCAAGGTCATAAATCTAATTCAAGAGGTTGCAAATCAGGTGACTCAATGTATGTCCTACAGGCAATGACCCTTCCAGTGAAACATAGAATGACCATAAACATGGGCTAATGTAGGAGCAGTTCAAAAGTCGGCTACTAGTTCAAGATTCTAGCTGAAATTTTAAAATCCTTACTCAATTTATACTTAGTTTTTCCTAAGGCAAAATAGAATTTCAAGTCTGGTTAGGCCAAAGAAAATACTTTTTAATTCAGTCTTACAAAAATTACTCAAATTGTGAATGTATTTGGGTGAAGCAGATCTTATTCTTTCCCACAAGATTGTCTAAGGTGACAAAATGCATCCAGCCTGCACGGTGTTGTTTCTGAATTGCTTCTGTTCTCAGTTCCTCAGTGGCAGTTCTGCACAGGCAAGAAGAGTAAGGGATGAACATTATTCTGGAAAACATCTCATGTATTAAGGACTGCAGCCTTCCAGTACTTAAAAGGACCTCTTCAGACTAACACCACTGCCAGCACAGAGATGAATTTTCGTGGGAAAGGGCTTTCAGAAGTCAGCTTGTAAGAAAAGAGATAATGTTGATTCTATCAGTCCTGTTCTTTGCTCCTCATCTTCAACTGAGCACTTGGTTCCTAGAACTACTAGAGGTCCTCCACTATGTCCTCACATCATCCTGGCTGATGGTGACCATTTCAGTGTATTTTCTTTCTGACTGTAAACTACTTATTCTATCTGAGGCTAGTAGAGATTCAGATTGTTATTTGTAAGGTAGCTTGCAATTTCTCTGAGTATTTCGTTACACAAGAAAGGCCTTAGGTTTCCCACAAAGTATATTTAGAGCTTTCTTCTTTTTGCAGAACAATCAACACTCCAAATCCTTCTGCTCTGAAAAGTAAATGTCACTGAGTCATGCAGAGTTCCTAAAATAAAGGTAAATCCATCTTGCAGGTCAGCAAAAATATAATGACCTGCAACTGCAATGTCTCAAGAAAGTCTTTGCAAGTGGCACTTAGAAACCCACCTAACCTAGTCTGACTTGTTCATGTCTAAGCTCTGGTAAAAATTACTGGGAATAAGAAAAACAAAGCAATTTCTGTGTTTAAAGGAAATTGGATAGTGAGTGATTCAGTTCAGTGCAATGGTAAGGTATCGTCTTTGCCTCCAGAGAATTTTAGTGGGACCTGTCTTACAGCTGTGTTTTGAACAAGCATTAGCTCTGGAACAGTCTGGACAAGAGGTCTAGATTGCTTAGTTTTGACCAAGAGTGGACTCATGTTACAAACATTATTGGGTTATAGATCACTATAATTAAAAGGAAGTCCATCTTTGCTGATGCATCACACTACGGATGCTTTCACAGAGTAAATGGTATGCTGGAGTTGTAACTATAAGAAGTTGCATCAGGGAAGCTTTGCAGACAGCAACGTGACAAAGCAAAAAAGGAATGGCTACTTTTTCTATTTCTCATAAATGGACTATCATTCTTGTATTTTTTCAGCTGAGTCTGGAAAAGAAGGAAGAATGTGGTTGTATTTCTGAACAACAGTCACAAGAAGGCTTACCTGCATTGCCCGTTAATGCAGCCACATCCATAAACAGTTCCTGTTCAAACTGCTATGTCATTAGAAAAATGGGAGAAGAGTATCATGCAAATTAGTAGAAGGGAGTTTGAGAGAAGGAGAGATGTTGGACAGCAAAATCTGTAGTCGATTAAAAGCTTTGCATTTAAAGAAATCAATTGGCAGAACATTGCTTGGCTACAAGGATATTGCAGCCTTTCCATCCCTCGCTGATTCTGTGGAAACAACATGAAATTTTGGAATTTGGACAGGGAAGGGGGCTGCTGCAGAAAAGAAGCAGCAGCCAGGCAAAATGAGCAACTTACCCCAAGAGGGCTCACTGAGTAATTCTTAAACACTTAACAGTTTGATTGTGTGTGGGTGCTGCATGTTACTGAAGTTGATTAGCTTTTCCTCCGTGTTGGGCAGCTTGGCTCCATGGATGATATCATTAGTTTGTCCCTTTCTACTCTTTTAGAGCTCTATGGCAGAGTGGCAGGCCAGAGGCACCAGGCATGTGTTGTAAGAATGGTGCTATCTGATGAATAAGGAGCCATTCATTTCAAGGAAGGTCACACTAGCGCTGTGATGGGGACATCATTTCAAACAGGTCTCTTACTTTGGATCCTTGTAACCTTATGGATATTGATTAAAAACATGTTCAATTGTTTTTTAGATAGTTGGGGTTTTTTCACCCTCTGTTGGATATCCAACAGGAAAAAGGTCATATGGCATCTGAGTCAAAACCTGATGACAGGGCTGGAAAGGTGCCTAATATTTTCTGAGTCATTTGAAGTGGGATTTTTATTCCTTTTCCATATGCAGAAGTCAGAGTTGTGTGTGTTTAAGTCACTTACAGTGAGGCAGGAGAGCAACTTTCACAGACCTGAACAGAATGTGGCATCTTCTGCAAAGCTGTTGATGGAGCAGCATTTTCAGCATCCGTGTCCAGCAACCTAAATTTCACTTGTTCTACATCTGGTTAGCTTCTTAATAAGAAAAACTTTTAAAATGTATTTCAAAGCTAACCAGCCTAGGGACATGAGTTGCTCAAGATTTTATTAATCTAAGCTCAGTTCTCAGTGCTGGTCAAGAGAATTGTTAAAACCCTTTGGTTCATCTGAGGCCAGCAGTGAGTTAGGCAAGTTGCCATGCAGGAGTTTCCAGGTTGCTACAGAGTTCATGTGAGGTCAGTAAGGCCCTCCACCTGCATCAAGCCTATGTGACTCCTCCAGCCTAACTACCCCTTTCCATTGTACTTAAACATCTCAGGATCCAATCTTGACAACTGTGCCTGCCTTCTCTGCACACAGAAGGCAGATATGGCTCTGCCCATACTGTACTCCATGCACTCCTCACACAACTGCCCAGCAATGTGTTTCACTTCTGGCCAGGACGGACCAACTACAGTGCTGAAAAGGGAACTGACTGCGTATAGAAATGAAATACATCAAAGACACACTTCTCTGTACACCTGTCTGCTCGGGAAAGGCTGCATTTGTTTCACACGGATGGGCTAAATACTGTCAGAGACAACCTTAACCTCAGCAATGCTGACGATGCCTCTGGGAGGACCTGTTAAGACTGAAGGTTGACTCAGGACTTTTAGCATGCTTCTTAAAAAAACGAAAACAAAAACCAAAACAAACAAACAAGAAAAAACAACCAACAACAAATAGAATCAAGAAAAGAACTGAAAACCAACAGGTAGCCCTTGTGCTTTTGTGAGCTGGTGGTTTGTGCAACCTTTTGACCACACAGTGTATATTTATTTAAAGTGATTGTGAATCCTTAGTGTCATCACCTTTGATATCCAATTATTTTGCCATTAATCTGTGTCCTAACACCATTATTCTGAGAGTGTGTAGCTCCATGCAGAATGCATCCACTCCCCTTAAACTCACTTTCCAAGCAGTCAGCTGTGGGCTGCATTTCCTCAGAGACTCAATTTTACTTTGTGACTTGGATGCAGAGCAAGTTCAGCTTGGTTTATAACAAGCTGCCTTCTATAACAGCATCAGCAAGTTTACAAGATGTCTCTGTAACCCTTCTGTGCTATGTGTCAGCATATGTATCTTATAGGGAAAGTCCCAGCCTGGGAAACTGATGAATGCCCAGGGTAAGTCATAAGAGCACAGAGGTACCACATCCTCCCTCCGATCATTCCCTGCAATGTTGTGATAGCTGAACTTTTTCCCAAGTGAGTCACAGGAGAATTTGGCAGGATTATAAATTTATGAGCTGTTTTCAGTTTTTACAAAAATAACTCTTGCACTTATGGAAACCTGATGTCAGTGTCATCAAAAAGGTTCTAACTATGCCATAGCCTGAGCTGAAGTCACCTGGTGTGCCTTTGGCTTCCAGGAACCTGCACGACATCTGAACACTTCAGTCACTTTAAAATCCCCACGAGGAGTGTTGTACCTGTCCCAATACTCCGAATGCACAGGTGGAATTTAAACCACCAAGATTCTTTGCCTTACAGAGTTCCCAAACCACTATCCCGCTGGGATGTCACCAAGGTCATATTGTTTTATCAATGCTTGCTTATATTTTTTCTCATCTGACCTGCACAGTTCTTTCCTTTTAACTGTAAGGATGTGATAAATCATAGGAAGAAGAAAACAATCCAATGCTTTGCTTTCTTTCCCTTAAGGAATTAGTCTCCACCATAATCCAGTTATTTGTAGAACCCTGTGTAAATGCCAGTACTGCTATAGCATTCCTATATGTGCTCATTTGTACACCCACATATACACACACAACTTGCTTCTCTTTCCGTCCTAGTTCATTTTTTTTCTCTGATGCTCATTTAATCCTATCCACTGCATGTTAACTATCAAAGCAGGGAGTACCCTGAATGAATGGGTTGTCTTGGATTAATGGTAATTCAGTGTCTCTGACTTTTAATGATGCAAAATGAAGTTACAGATAAAAATTCAGATTCCTTCAGTGGTGCTGTCCAAAGATCTTGTCATTTTATTCTTGTCCTGCCTAGGAAAGCAGTGTTTTTTCCTCAAAACAAATATCCAGCATATCTCAATCCATCCACCTCTTCAATTTTTCTCCCATCACAAAAAAAAAAAAAACAAAAAAAACCCAACTTCTTAAAATTATTTTGAGAATATATGAAACAGTACTTCCTATTGAAAGTCTTTGGGATGAGGCTGAGCTATACAGCAGTATATTGCAGATAGTAAGAAACACTTGTATACATTCACTAGCCCAGTTTTCTTGCAAAATTCAATCTAAATAATGATTTAGACATAAAAAAGAATTACCATGCTTCACAGATTTGATTTCTATTCCCTTTCTGCTTGCCCAGCCCATAAATTGTTTCACGAATGGCAATATTGATTTATTTGACTTACCTGCTTCTCCATGGCCAGAAATAAAACATTCCAAGAACACAATCAGCATGATGCCTTTACGCTGCATGACTGTCAGTAAAATATCTGTCCTCAGTGAAGCAAAAATAGCTGCAGTAATCTACAGGTTTGGTGCTTGCATGGCTTTCCTGTGTTGTCTTTCTTTCCTTCTGCTCACCTTCCCCTCAATGTAGAGGTCAAGGCTGCTGTCTCATTCTTCTTGTTTTCCTTTTGGATCGGGAGGCTTTTCTTCTTCTTTTTTTTCCCCCCTCAGGGCTCAGATGCCTTCTGGGTGTCACCCGTACATCGCTTCCAATAAATAAATAAATAACGGGGAGTTTCGGTGCTTTCACCCGCTCCGCGCAGCGGGCCGGGGCCGCTCACATCCCCGCTGCAGCGCCGGGGATGCACCATGGGGAGCTGACGCTGCGCAGGAAGAGCTCCGATCGCTCCGGGCTTTTGCGGCTCTTTGAATGCTATTTCGAAACTTTCATTTCTGCTCCTGGCTTTGCCGGAGCCTCCCCTACTCCTCACCCCTCCCGCTGTCAGTCGGGGTGCCGATAGGGTCCGACCCCTGCTTTGTTAGCGGCTCTGCCCCGGTGCCTTCTTTCCCTTTGCTCCCTGCAGCAGAGGGTTATAAGAAAAAGTGAGTTGTTGGTTGTTTTGTTGTTGGTGGTTGGTTTGTTTGTTTTTTTTTTTTTCCTCTCGCTAAGCGATGATGAGAAGCAAGTGCTCCTTTGGCTCTTCTCTCTTTTTATTTTGCTTTGCTTTATTTTAGTTTATTTCCGCTGTCACGGAAGCCGCTACTCCCCCGGCTGCCGGGATTTGCTTCACACGGCGAAGCGTGCGGAGGGGCTGAGGGGAAAACCCGATCTCAAGGGCGGCTCTCCGGGATCGCGGGACCCCCCCGTCCGTGCTCGCTGTGGTGCCCAGGGCGGGAGGGGAGCGAAGGGGCCGGAGGGCAGTCCTGGGGGCTCGGGGTCCTTCCCTCCCTCCCAGGGTCGGGGGCTCGTTCAAGTTTTCCCTCTGCCTCCCTTTCAGCCTCTAAAGCTCATCTCTAGCTCCTAACGGGGCGGTTCTCTGGTCCTGTCTGGCTGCAGAGGGGATTATTATAACATGTGATCTTCCTTTTCTTTACATGTGCTTTCTTTTTTTTTTTTTTCTTTTTTTTTTGGGGGGGGGGGTGGAGGAGGAGAATGGATCGGTTCCGCACCTCCTCGCCGGTGTTGGGCTGCTCCTCGCTGCGCTCAGACGCACGCGTTGTTCTACAGCCGCATCTCCTCGTCCTCCTTCAGGAGCCGGGCTGTCCGTGTGTGTGCGTGTGTCCGTGCGTGTCCGTGCGGGGCGGGGGCAGCCTCTCAGCCCGCCCCGGCCGCTCCTGCTGTCCCTTGTCCCTGCAGCACCCTCTGCCCGCCCGCCCTGCACATGACAGCCGCCCTGCAGCGGGCGCTGCCCGGCACCCAGAAGGGCGTGGGGACAAGCGAGGTGGCTTTAGGGTTTTTAATTGCTCGGGCACTCACGTCGAGTTTCTTTCCGTCAACGCAGATATGAGCTGGGACAAGTCAGGCAGTGAGGGGAATTGCGATTTTCTGCTGTGTCTGCGCTGGTGCCTCTAGTACGTCTGCCTGCCTCTGGTAGCACTGACCCTGAATCCCAGCCCTGGATTTTGTTTGAGTTGGTAATTCCCAATGCAAAACCTCCGACACTGGGGATTGAAGTGCTCTAGTTCTGATGCTCCGCTCTATAAATAATGTTAATAGGCAGTGAGCCCCTCCCACAGCTCCTCCAGCTTCCTTCTCTCTTTCTGGCGTGGGTGCCTCATCCCTGGAGGCATTCAAGGTCAGGCTCGATGGGGCTCCCAGCACCTGATTGATCTGTAGGTGTTCATCACAGGGGAGCATTCGTGGTGGAAGCATTTCATTCTGTGCCTGGGGCAGCTCAGACAGATGGAAGTGTGAGCATGCAGAAAGGGGCTGTGGAGGTGGATGTGAAGATAAAGAAACGGGGAGTGAACTTCACTGCATGGCAACATCTAGTCCACATAAAGGACTAGATGACCTTTAAGGGTCCCTTCCATCTCAAACGATTCCGTGATGCTATGACTCTTCAGCTTGTAAGGCAGTGTAATAACATCAACTTCTGCTTGGTGTCACAGAGGGAAGCTCAGTGGGAATAGTCAAGGTTATTCTTCTGCCCATGTGTGCATAGAATCAGACCTTGGAGAGAATTGCAAAGTGTGGATCGTAGAAAAAAGAAGAAGGAAAGATTTCTGTAAGGCATGGTTATTTATTGAAGTAGATCTTTCTGTATTGAAGTAGATTTTTCTGACTTTACCCTTATCTTCCTATTTTTATATGTTTTTGAATAAGAAAACCAAATAGAAAACGTTGAGATAAGAAGGAGAATTTCCCCCTCCTTTTTGTCTTTGCCTTTTGTTTGAAAGCTATTACAATAACATATAATCACAAAGCACAGTTCTCTGCCATACGTGACAGTGTATCCTTCAGAAGGTTTGAGTCTGCTGTGTGCTCAGCTCCCCTGGGACGTTCTGAGTTCTTTCAACTCCAGCATTTTCAGTGGGAGCTGGGGATGCACAGTGTGTCCTAAAGCTAAAGCCAACGTGACATTAATGAGCTGTCATTTAATAACCATGCTTTGTTCTCTTTGCTTGTCAATTGCTGCCTTTGTGGGAAAACACAGCTTTTTTTTTTTTTTTTTTTTTTCTGCAGTTTTGGTGGATTATGTAATGATTACTAACTGAAATGCTTCTCCCAGATAATTTCATCAGACTTAAGCTATGGCTCTTGAGAAAAATTCCCTGGCCATGATTGTAGTTCCGTGGATGTAATAATAAAGGTCAAGAAGCTCCTGTGTAATTTATACAGCAGCTGAAAACAGGGAGGAAAGTTCACAGTGCTCTTTAAGTGGGAAGTCAAAATGAAGCATATTCATTTACTTCTGATGTCTGGATGGCAACACCGTAAGGCTGTCCAGCTCTTGTTGACTGTGGCCTATAAAAGTGCTTTAAAACTGAAAGCTTTCATTCCTCTTCCCTATTATTGCCTGTCTTGAGAAAACCAGTACAACAGCTTAATACTACTGAAATCCAGGCCTGTGGGCTAAAAGGAGCTAACATCTAAGGGGGAAATGTTAGTGTTATCCTTGACATCTGCTGTTGTCCAGGGGATGGACACCTGGACCGCATCTGAGAACAGCCCAGACTCAGAGTGCTCAAACAGAGATTGTCCATCTTCGTGTGCGTGAACACTGGCGTGAATGAGGTCAGTTGTAGTTGGTATCTCAGCTATAGAAATGTGAAAGCACAATCTCTGTGGTGTCGGGCAAGGTTTGGGCTGCAGAGCACGACTCCCTGTGGGAACTGGATGATTGGGAAAGTGACCGACTGCTCTCATGGCTCAGTGCAGCTCCTGCTGCAAAGCACCCAGAGGAGAAACTGCAAAGCTGTGAATCATTCATTTGGGGGAGGACAGAAAAGCCAATGGCACGGCACAGATGGGGTAGGTGTGTCGCCTGCACTGCTGGCCCTCTGTACTCCACAGGCATTTCCAAAGCCAGAGGACAGGCTGTCATCTGTAGATACCCCAGAGCAGGGTACATCTCAATTGCTGTGCATCTTGCTTGCCTGCAGCCCTTGTTCTCCTCTCCTCACGCCTCTCCACCTTGCCTCTCCTTTCCTCCTTTTTGTTAGCAGCCATGATTAGCCTGAAGGAAATCTGTCGTGGCCTTCCTCTAAACCCTTTGCCTGAAAACAGAGGTCGGAGGAAAGGAATACCCCATGCACCTGTGAGAACCCCTAATCTCACTGCTCAGGAGAAAAAGGTAATGTGGGGTTTCACGAGGCTCACTTCTCTTCCTTTCAGCTAAATGAAATGGGGAGCGGCATCAAATGCTTTTCTGAGTGTGGAAAAATGTATTTCCTTTCTGTTATAACTTCAGCAATGGGACAAAATACTGGAAAATCTTCTGCTCTCTTTCTTTCTGTCTTTCTCCCTGAGTTGATTGATATGAAGATTTGCTGCACAATAGCTTGCATGACTTAAAATGGCTGAAGAGGCCTTAACTTCAATGCTGTCAGTCCAGAATTGTTTTTTATGAATTTATGAAGGCTGTTGCAAAAACACTGTGTATTTATGTTAACCCCACAAATACAGTAAACATGAAATGTGGCGAATTGACATCTTGGTACAAGTTACTTATCTACGTGTTTGCATAATGACCCAGAGATGATTTATTTGAACCAGCAGTCTGAAACATCCTGGAATTCAGACAAGTTTATAAGGAATTGAGTTAATTATTTGTCTTACGTTGTGTAATTCTTTTCCAGTCTCTTTTTGTTTAAATAGTTTATGTACACACTAAAGCAATCATTGCAGTATTTCATGTTAGAGATTTAAAAAATATATCTGCAGCAGAAAATAATGGTTGGTGGGTAGAGACCCTTAGGAACTGTGTTGAAGAGAGGATGAGGTGGGTTCCTTAGCTTGAAAGCCTGTGCTTCATCACATGTCATAGCTGACAGTGTGATTTTCTGGTCAGAACACAGAAGTTCCTCACCCACACTGAGCTGCGTGCAACTTTCTTGCCTTCGTGGCAGTTCCCCCTGGCATTAGCGCTGAAATTGTTTCAAAGCCCTTTTCCAGAAGCAGAGGAGAGCCCACTCTCTGGGTAGGGAGAGGAACAGATGTGAGATATCCGGAGAGGATTTACTCCAATGTCAGGAGCATTCGTGGTGGAGGCATTTCAGTCTGTGCCTGGGACAGCTCAGGCAGATGGAAGTGTGGCTCATGAGCATGCAGAAAGGGGCTGTGAAGGTGGATGTGAAGATAAAGGAACCGGGAGTGAACTTCACTGCATGGCAACACATTGCCAAACATCCCCATTTTGTTCCCTGCCTTTGCTCAATTATTTTGCCCCATGAGGAGTATACTGCAGCATAAGGAGATGGTATTTCTCTCAGAGCAATGCCAGACCTTACTGTCTACCTGAAGAAACGCTGGTAATGACAAAGCCCTCACAGCCTGTATGGAAATTGGGATTGAATGCCCCCAAAGCATTGCAAGGAGACAGTGGTAGGCTGCTTTTCTGGTCCCAGCCTATCTTACATCCTTCCCTCAGCTCACCTTCTTATCTACCACATGTGATAAAAGGTCATGCTGGCTCAGTTTTTTATTAGCCTGTTAAAAATTTAAAAGCTTCCTTTCTGATTTACTTTACTCTTAATCCTCCACCTTCAACTCTTAACAGGGTTAGAAGCTCAGCTGGTATTTATTTTATATCTGAGAGGCTGAATCTCCTTTTTAAGAAGTGTTTTGTGCTTAGGACAGGTTGTCTGTCTGCAAGGTGGTTTTAAAGTCTTGAGACAAGCTTCCAGATCTTGTTGGCAGTACGTAACACTGAGCACATTGCAAGGCTTGTCTTTACTCATAACACTGTGTTCATTTTCTAATCGAGGCGCTCATGCAAGCTTTGACAGAAGTGAAGTTAGTAATGCTCTGCTAATTTCCTCAGACTAGGGATCTGTCCCTCTGTCCACATGCCTTCATTCCAATTTTACCCTTTTTCACAATAATAATGCTTAGCACTGCTCTTTTTTTACTTTCTTAGGCTTCCTTTTTTGGCTACAATAGAAATCCTTTAAGCAAGATTTATACATTTCTGCATGTTTTGGGGCTTGCCGAAGAGATATACGATGCTTCCTATCATATCAACTTTAATCTCTTTGGATAAATCAAGCCATTTCTCAGAACTGATTTTTGTTTATGTTTCCTGAGTCGTCTTTCTTCTGCATTCTTTGCCTGAGGCCTATAGCAGCCACTTCTCCCTTTCCCTCTATGGCTCAGGAAATCCCAGTTTTCTGTTTCTTAGCCTCTGTATCTTTATGTAAATACACTGCAAGGAAAACAGCCCTTAAATATTATGAGTGGTGTGTCCTTTGCAGAACATTGGACACTGCATTCTTGGTACTCACTGGCATTCTGTTAAAGCAACCTGGGAAGCATGCACACTTCTCAGTGTTGCAAAGAATCAGAAAAATCCTTATCCATGGGCCCCAGCCTGTAGGGTGACTCGGCCTTGGGCCTGTCTTGCCTTTATTGGCTTGCCTGGTGAACTCTGAGCCATATCTCATCCTGGTAACCATCACCTGATCCTAACTTGCTTTCCTGGCCTCACCCCAAGCTTGGACATCACCACGATGAGCTGATTTTTTAGAGGTGTTGAGCAGATAGATGCCAATCAGACTGCTGGCTGAGGAAGCTACAAACAGGAACACCTACAGGTGAAATGCCCACAGTCTAATATCAGAGGGGAACGTGTCAGCTATGAGTACAATTAATCTTAAAGATCACAGTAGCGTTTCATATGGTGCTTTAATGAAACTTAAGGAATAATGGCCAAGTGTTGCTTTTCCTCGAAAGCTTGATGATCAGTCTGTTTGAATTTGCTCCTTAAGTGCCTTTCTCAAGTTATTCAGTTTGACTCAATAATGAATATGCAAAATTCTCCTTGATGCATATGCCAACTGCCTTTTCATGAAGCAGTCAGGCTCCATCTAAGCAATTTTAAGAGACCCAGTGCTGCTATTGAGAGGCTGCTTCAGAATCTGTTATTTAAATTCTTCTAATTTCAAGGCTACATTTCTTCATGGCTAATTTACAGCCATTTATTCCTCTCTCCAGCTTTTCCCTGAAGCTGCTTCCTACTTTGACACTTATCCTGCAGTAAGACAGCAATCAAATGTCACCTTTGTTCTGTTAAGCTAAACAAGGCACAGTCTTAGTCCTCTTTTATAAGATCAGCTCTCTATTGTCTGAGCAACCCAGGAGCCCTTCTCAACCCTCATGTAACATTGAAGTTCATGTTTCATTAATGTTTGCATCATCAAAATTCAGGTCTGTGCTAACATGGAACACTAATAGGACAGGGGCTCTGTCTAAGTGTATTTATTTGAAAATCCAGGCAGATTTTGCCTGCTTGTGTTTTTAGAGCAAAGAAAAATGCTATTTTTCCTTCAGTTTCATTATAACTCAAATAACAGATATACTGATCAGAGACTAGGTGAGCCTTGCCAGAATGGAAGCAAAACACTTTCATCCTGATACTCCTCTATAGCCGAAAGGCCAAATGTAGAAGCACCTTTTTTCCCTTTTCAGCATATCACTGCTTTCCTTTTTGTTATTACAAGAGATATAACTGATTTTATTCTCACTTCAGGAATTTCTTAGAGCTAGAAACCTCTGTGAAGGCTGCTTGCCTCTGAGGTACTGACTTTCAAAGTCCCCTTCTATTTTGTCACTGCATGGATACAGCTGGGATTTTTGTGTTTAATGAAGTTTTGAAAAATGACTACTTACCTAGCTGGAGAAGAATAAGGCAGTAGATCAAAAGGGAATTTGCATCTGCTTGTCTTTTAAACAGGTCTTACTCCTTGTCATTTTCTGTGTGGAATGGCAAAGCTCATTTGCAAGGATTGAGTAGGTGAAGTGAAAGGGTCTGTTTGCCTGTTTGGCAGCAAATATGCCAACAAGAACATCTTTTAGTATGGATTGTTTTTAGATTCTGAGATACTGTGCTACGTTGGCTTAAAGGTGTGTGAGACCAACAAGCTCAAATGGTGAAGGGGCTGTACAACTCTAGCCCTAAGAATCAGAGTACAGTCACATTGAATAAGGTTTTTCACTGAGCTGAACAAAAGACTTTGTAGCCCTTTTCAGGAATTCTTATCAGGGTGCTTTTTCCTCCCAGAAGTGCAATCAGTGTGAAATACCCAGACTGGATGGTTCTATGTGCCTTTGTTCTGGATACCCGTTTGCTGTGCTGCAGGCTGCCCCTTCACTTCTTGCAGTGAATATTTCACAGAATCACAGAATCGTAGGGGTTGGAAGGGACCTTCAGAGTTCATCAAGTCCAACCCCCCTGCCAAAGCAGGTTCCCTACAGCAGGTCGCACAAATAGGTTGGAACTGACAACAGCAGGTTTCATCCTCAGCCCTCTCAAACTGGGCTTCCCTGGTCATAGTGTAGGCTGCTATCAAATTTGGTAGCAAATTTGATCCCATCCTCAGCCTCCTTTTAAGGGCTGTCTTATCCACAGCCCGTAAAAATCAGCCCAATGAAGAGATGAAATGTATGAATCTCTTCAACTAAGAGTCGCTTCCATAGTATTGTCATATATCAAGGAATTTAGAAGAGTTTTTAGCATCTTCACATGAAATTGGCATTTTAAAGATTACAAAATATTTGTTATCATTATAGTTTTAATCAAATGGAACAGAATACAGAGACATGACTTAAGAGACTGTTACTAAAAAGAGTGATTTATTTATGTTTTCGTTCATCTAAAAGGACACACGGTACTTTGCAATGTAGAACTTTAACAGTGGATAATATCTTTGAAGGTAATGGGAAGGATGAGCCACTTACTGTCATCTGCAGAATTTAATTCAGTGTCTACTAAACACTGTAGCTAATTTAGAAGTGATGTTTGTGACTTCAATAAAATAATGTATGCCATCATACTATGCAATACATTAGTATGCTGCATGTATAACGAAACTTCACCCAAGAACATCTTCCTCTGTAAGTCACATAATTCAGGGCTAAGGTCTCTTGTTTGAATTGAAGGTACAGTAAGGACTTTGGAGCCTCTGGGAGTTCAGGATCTCACAATAAGTGTTTCTGAACAGTGCTTTTCTTGGTAGTTCAGTGCCCTGTAGCACTGCAAGAGAGGATTCATCTCTATCAGACGTCTGTAGGTTTGTGCATTACTTATCAAATCTCCAAGGTCTTTCCATGCAGATTTGAGGTGAGTGGGAAGAGGTGGGTTGCATGTGTACGTCCACTGAGTCTACAAGGAAAGATGGAGATGGGTAGCTCCCCTGGCGTGGCCTTTTAAATTAAACCATCCTTGTGACAGCTGGCATAGGTTTCCAGCTGAGTCTAAAGTTCAGGGCCACCCACTTGCCTCCATTTCTCTTTTAGCTTGGTTACTGTGTCTTTTTTTTTTTCCCCTGACAGCTCGCTTTGCGCAATGCCCTACGTTATTTCCCACCTGACATACAAAAGAAGCTGGTGCTGGAATTTGCTGAAGAACTCAGGCTGTATGGCCATATCTACATGTACAGGTTCTTCCCAGATATTGAGATGAGGTAAGAAGTGAAGGGTTCATGCTGCAATTGGATGTCCTGTCTGTCTTTAGACAGGAGAGGTATGGTTTCCACTGATTGCTAATGTGTGTCTTCTGTAAAGCTGCATTCTTCATCCTTCAGCTTTCATCCTATTTTCTGTCTTCATGAGAGCCTCATGGACTAGCAGGGAAACAGACTGCACCCTTCTGGTTAGGTGCTGGCAGGGCTGGTGCAGTCTTGCTGCTGGGAAGCTCAGTGCCACTTAACACATGAATCAGATCATGTGTTTGGTAATGCCAGTTGAGATGGCATTACACTGAGATGCCATATGCTCTACCCCAAAGCAAATCTGAGAGTTTCCAGGGACCAGTCACTGTTCAAAAATCTGATTGCAACCTGTACAGGAAGCCTGCATTAGCCTTGAGATGATGCTAGTTGTCATGAACCAAGAAGTAAGATCAGTTGAGTGGATGACTTTGGGATCTGCTGTGAGTGACTGATTATTTGTCAGTCTCAGAGAAGACTTCCTGGGCTTGAAAGAGAAGCAGCACATTTTTTCCATGCTTGGAACCTGTATCTGACCCTGTCTTGTAATAGGCAGTGCCTGTTGATCTCGAAGCATCACTTCATTACAGATCTAAGGAGGCTAATGTTTGTGAAGCAGAACAGTTTTGTAAAGGGCTGCCAGGGGCTGGCTTCTTTTTTTAGACTGATTGATTCCTTTTTGCATCCAGCAGGGGCCTGGTTAATGTCTACACAGAAATCTGAATAAGCAAGCAACAAAAAAGCACTTTAATTTCCACAGACATCCATGTTTTTGTGCTGCCCACAGTCTGGGGTCAGCTCTTGCAGAAATCAGCTAAAGGAATTACAATAAGAGAATCTGAAAGATACTGCAGAGCTGGACTGCAGAGGACAGTAGTCCTGAATATAAATGAGGACACCTTCTGCTCTCAGCTTGAATAAGACAGTCCACCAGCTCATTTCCATCACTGGCATCAGTGATTCTTGACAGCCTCGAATATTTTCTTTGTAGTTTGTGATGATTTTACAGCTCTCCTTTTCCAGCCGACTCTTACAGTCTCAGATTAAGACACATCTTTTGTTGCCTTAGTCTAGTCTAGTAGTATTTGGTTTTGTTCTGCTTATCCCAGGGAGCACAGTCCCATTTGGTTCTGTTCCCCACAACACCCTTTTCCCCATATAAACACTCTCAGTCCATTCCTGAACATTGGGCTTCTTAAATTCTGAGCAATCTTATGGGGGAATGACTTCTCTTGATGAAATAGTATAATTCCTCCTGTTTTATCACCTCAAACTTAGAAAAGCAAAAAAAATTAATAATAATTTAAAAATATATTTTTAAAAACTCAAAGGCTTTCTCTCCTGTTTTGGCAGTGAGTGCAAAGCATTTGTTTCAGTATCCTGATGTAAATAGCTGGGATAAAGCACATATGATCATGGGAAGAGCCCATTTGCTAAATCTATAGAATTTATTTATCTTTGCCATTTGCATTCTTTAGCATAATTTCTTCAGTGTAACTGTCTTCCTTGCATAAAGAAAGCATTTAGCCACTGAAGATCCATGGTCCAGTAAAAGGAAGATTGTTTAAAGAACACGTGTAGCAGAAATGCTAAGTCACAGCTTGAAGCACCGATTGAGCACCTGGTGGGAAGGCAGGGCCAACCCAGTGGGGCTCAGGTGCATGCAATGCAGTGCAATGCAATGCCTCTGCGTGATTGGAAGGGGTGGAACCGGGATCCAGCCCTTCCCAGACCTCGTTTAAGAGTTGGCAATGGAGGTAAGGGTATCTTATTGAAGATCCCTGCTTACTAGAGGCCTTCCAAAGGTAAGCAGATTTTCTTCCTTTGTTTCTGCATCCGTGGCTGTTGTGTTTGGGCTTGTCCTCATTTGCTGCAGCCTAGGATTGTGCTAACCCCACTATTATTGCTTTACTTTCCACTTCGTTATAGCATTACAACATGTCAAATGTTCCTACCTGCCTTCAGGAATTTTCAGTGTCTATGATGGTTTTGTTGCTTACAGAGAAAGAAAGAGCGGAACTCTTGATTATAAATCTTGGTGTTATATTTCAGCAGCCTTGGTACAACTGTACTCAGACTTATACAAGCACAGCAAAGGAACCATCTCATGCCTGAAGAGAAAACATATATACACACACATATGTGCATATATGTACATCTACATACATAATACAGAGCTAAGACTAGAAGTTTTAGGGCAATTTGATAAAGCAAATAGATTATGGAGGAGAATATATGTAAGGCAACTGCAGAAGTTGGTACCGAATCACATTAGTGATTCAAGTCCTTGTAGGGTTTCCTATTCCCAACCTCTCAAATTTGTCACTGAAATACAACTTATTCAGTAAGAAGACTCACGTTTCCCATAGCTAGGTAAGTTCTGGGGATTACTTTAGAACTGAAATTGGAGCTGGGTTTTTTCCTTTTTAGATGGGATCTTAAATTTGCAAGGGCAGAAGAGTCCAAAAGCAACTTCCGTGATGCTGTTTTCCTTGGCCTGGCAATTGGGTTTAAGCATGCCCAAATAATCCATGTAGAAAAGCAATGAGCTCTCACAGCTGCCATATTTATAACCCATTCTGACTACCTGATTCAGAAGTGACAAGCTGAATGCGTTCTTTTCTCTTTGCTTAGTTCTGATTGAAGTTGAAACCTGATGTGCCTCTTAAGGTACAGGCTATATTAGATCTGCACTTTCTCCTTTTTCCTTTTTCTCTCCTCTTCTATAAAAGATAATAACTCAAAGGAACGTGTTGATGTGCAGGGATACTTCTGTCAGATGTTTTGTTGTTTCTCTTATATGCGTCCTAAAGTGTGGTGAATGCCATTTCAGAGCATACCCCATAGAAGACTATCCTTGCAAGACCAAATCAGCTGCTGCCATCATGCTGATGATCATGAATAATCTGGATCCCTCGGTGGCTCAGGTAAGCTGCAGTGACAGTAAAGGAAGTTGGAGTCATGAAGCAGAAGCAAATCTGCAAGTTACTTCCTGTAAGTGCTTGCACACAAACTGAAGAATTTGGGTGATTCTACAACTTTTCCTGTGGTCGTGTTTTGATTTCTGAGTTTTGGGTCTTTTTTGCTAATATCTATCGCTTATTGCAATGCGTAGTTCTTCATTCTGCACGGTGGGTTTTGGTCCTAACTTAGTCTCTGAGGACTCTTGCAGTGCTAGCAAGGCTCACTCCAGCTCCCACAATACACAGGAGCTTGGTTGCTGTGAGAAAGCACAGTTCTGAGTACACTGCTCGTACAGCATGTGTTGAGCAGCTAGTGTTGGAGACGCAGAGAAATACTTCAGAAACGTGCTTGCCTTATTATTATTAAATTATCCTTCTCAGTTTCCACAGGAGCTTGTCACTTATGGAGGAAATGGGCAGGTCTTCAGCAACTGGGCTCAGGTAGGACGCTGCTGCTTTTGCAGCTTCTGTCATGAAACCCATTGTACGCTCCCCCAGGCATGTTCTGCTTAGGCAGAGTTTGCAATAATTCTTGGCAGTCATTGTCTCTAAATACTCCAAAACATCCTGTCTGGATAGAGGAATGCTCAGTTATGAGCTGTGCAGATGGGAAGAGCTTTATTTAGTAAAGAGAGCACAGACAATCCAATAGAAAGACTGTGTTTCAAAAAATGTCAAGCAGCATAAGATGATGTAGATAGCTCTTTGTATTTCTCTGGTGTGTGTGTGTGTGTATGTGTTTGTACTTTGCACAATAATTTATATGCAAAATAAATTTTAGGAAACCAAAAAGTGTATCTTTTGTTTATTTCTGGTACTTTTGCAACATTTTTCACAATACACAGAGGAATAAAAAAAATGAGGCTATAATGAAGTGCAGCCCTGAGTTCTTCCAATGAAATCAAGTGAGCTGAAATTGTTCACATGCTAGCTGGGCAAGTGACGGTGCTTTTTATTTTCAGGATTAACTCTGCTCTTCTGATGGCAATGGCAAGTGGGTGACATCCTATCTAAAATCTGAGCTGGGATGTTTAAGTTAGGACTGTCAATCTAGAAGTGCACACCGTTTCTTTGTTCTGTGCATTAATTCATAAATGTCTGTTATGTCATTTAATGCATTGCATGAAAGTTTTACAGCATCTCTCAAGACACCAGTGCTGGCAGTTCATACTGTGGGCCTGACTGGGGTGACATCCCTCAGGCAGATGCTAGGCTGCAAGGTGAAGGAGAGGCTCTGCCAAAGACAGAAGTATTTTTTTTTTTCTCTTGTTTCCATCCAAGTTAGAGCTTTGACCTGCAGTTGTTTCACAGCAGAACAAACAAAACCTTTTTGGTCTTGCTTATTTGGAGTAGCGATCACATGAATGATTCAGTTGTGATAGAACATTTTGTTCTCTGTGGCTTAAAAACAGCATGCTTTTTGAAAATTTGTCCTTGCAAAATTCCCACTGAAAAGGCTGGGTTTGGTTTATGTCATCCACACAGGCCTGTGCTTTGTCCTGAATAATTTTTGAAGAAAAACAAACAAACAAAACAACCAGAGGTAAATTTCCACTTACCAACTTGTCCTCAAGCTTGCAGGCCTGTTGTTGATGTTACTGTCTCTCTGATCAGCAGATCCATTTTTCAGTGTAACTGCAGAAACTCTATTTCAAGCTATTGTTGAATTCCAGCGTCCCATGGAAAAGCTCTTCTTAGACCTGGCTGTCATATACTCTAGGCCCATGAAATATAATGAAAGGTCTTTGTAATAGACAGTGATGGATGTGAGTTAAACCTATAGCAGTTTAGATGTACTTTGTGGCATAAACCAAGAGTAACTATTGAATTATGAAGATGGATTGGAGATGCATTTATTTATTCCTTGGTATTTCAAGGAGTGTTGTCCATAGTGAAAGCTGTTTGTTTGGTGTATGTTTGGTGTGAGGAAAAATTGAAATGCATACATCTGTTGAAAAGATGACAAGCGCCAGAAGAGACTGCATTATCCGTATCAGGCCAGCATCAAAAATATACATGAGTATTTCATCTCTTTTATTGGGAAAATTTTGCAGTTTGATTTTGGATACATTGCCAGAAAAGTGCCAGATCCAAATGGTCAATCTCAAGATAAAATTGGAATGGCTTTCAAAATGACGCGTTGAAAAGCTAGCAAAGCATTTCTGGGGTTTATATTGGAGAAATTATTCTGGAACTTATTCAGACCTCGTTGATTTATGTTTCCTGCTGAGTGATGTCTCTTAATGGACTTTATTGAAAGCAAGAATGTGTTGAGAGCTCTGGCTGTTATTTCGTATGTGAATACACCTCGTTATCTCTACAGCTGCCTTCATACTCCGTTTAGCAGCTTCATGAAGAAATATAAATGCATGATGGAAACAGATTCCCTCACTTTCCTTGCTTTCCTTTTCAGTTCTGGTTGGCAATGCAATATTTGTCAGAGATGACCGAAGAGCAAACATTGGTAATGTACAGTGGGCATCCTCTGGGACTCTTTCCCAGCCATCGCTATGCTCCGCGATTAGTCATTACTAATGGCATGGTAGGTGTTAGCATCTTGTTTTCTTTTGCTTTTTTTCTTCCTCTTATGTTTAGCTTTCATATGTCTACTGAATTAAAATGTAATTGATACTACCTGAACTAATGATAGCTCACAGAAGAATCTCAGGTCTAAATTCTGCAGCTTTTATTGCAGTACAGTTTCTGTCACCTCAGGTGAGCTGATCTGCAGTGAGAGAAGTAAGATCCTCTCCTTATCAGAGGACTTCATTCTGAATGAGCCTGAGCTGTTCAAAACAGTTCAGCTATAGAGAATTTAGATAGTGAAAAAGATTTTCTTAAATCTATAATTTGCTTATTTGGGTTTTCTTTTTATTCTTTTCTTAGGTTATTCCCAACTATTCTAGTAGAGACGATTATGAGAAGCTCTTTGCTTTGGGAGTAACAATGTAAGCAGACACCTTGCTATTAAAATTTATCAAATATTTATCTAAAATTTAATTCAAATATCAAGCAGCTGCTGTTTAAAATATCTAATGCAGATGGACTTCAACTGTGCTGCTTAAAGTCCTGATGCTGCAACACATTAATGCACACTTAAGTGCAATTACTTAGGAGCTTGAGTTACATTCAGCCACACATATAAGGATGTAATTGAGGTCTGCTAGGAATTAGAATTAGGTTTATTTATAAGACTTGGCTGAATTACAGCCTGAAGCCACAATCATAGCCTACGTACAGCACTGGCTGGTTACACTTTGCAGTGGTTGTTTTGCAATCTGCAAAAACCATAAGTTATGAAGTGTTTGTTTCTCTTTACATCAAGAGAAAGCTTTGAAGTAGAATGCTGTAAGGTTTTCTTTTTTCTTTTTTAATGGTAATTTGCCTGCTTTTTTACTGTTCATCTATCTGATGAGCACAGGATGGTTATTTGCTGTTTGCCATGAAGAGAATCAATTAGAACTATGGGAGAGCTGAATGTGTACAGATTGGTAAGAAATAAAAGCACTCAAATAAAGTGTCCTTAATCATGTATCTGGGGATTTTATAGTAATGAATTGAGGCCACATTTGGGGTTATAACTTTCAAAATGACTATGTGTCTTAGAAGGAGAATTGGCACTGAAAACCAATGGTACAAAAGTGCCTGAAGGTGAAAAGGAATCTGTTTGTGTCTTAGTCCCTGTGCTAAATTCCAAACCAAAATTTATGGCTGTTTTTTTTTTTTTTCCAGTCTATACATCTTTAAACTCAGTAGTTTAAAGAGCTAAATGATCCTCTGAAAACATGTTGAAAGCACTGTTAATGAAGGTCTATGAAGTTGGGATTGTGATAATATAAAATAACAACAACTAGAAGTGCAAGAGATTGGTTTTTGTGTGTTTGTTAGGTTGAGGAGTCTTTCTTTTTTTGTTATACTAGAAATATATGTTGATGTATACAGCCTTCATTCTGCCTGAATAACATATGGAGTCATCATGTTCTTTGATCTTGCTAGGTATGGTCAGATGACTGCAGGGAGCTACTGCTACATTGGGCCCCAGGGAATAGTCCATGGAACTGTGGTAAGAAACTGGGGAAAGCTTGATTAGTTGGTAAATGTGGCTGGTGACTGGGGTGAAATGAACCACTGTGGAAGAATGTTATGTGCAGGTATCTAGCAGGCTTGTTTTCCTTAGCACCCATCTTGAGTACATCTCTGTATTGTGAACTGCTCATTATTCTATTTGGCAGTGGCAGAAACAGGTATCAGTACAGATGGTTGAAACCAACACCTTTGTAACATCACCTTTGTAACGTGGCTCCTTTTTAAAAGATTAACGCCATTTCATGGTCCTAGGGACCTCTGAAGCCAATTTCACAGTTTCAGACTGTCTTTGCAAAAGGAACACATCATTTGAATATAGAAAACCAGTGCCTAAGAGTACCTTTAACAATCCTGCTTGCAAACAGCTACTTGTTCCAGGTATCTAAGGCAGTTAATTGGGAAAATGCAGCTTTTTTTTTTTTTTTTTAATATAATTTGATAGATTTCAGGAACACTGGGTGAAATAACTCCTGGTAATTGCTATATTATGTTGTGTGTAGCTCACAGTGCTGAATGCTGGTCGTCGCTATTTGAAGGCAGAAGACCTGTCTGGAAAGGTGTTTGTTACTTCTGGTCTTGGAGGGATGAGTGGGGCTCAAGCGAAGGCTGCAGTCATTGCTGGGTGTGTGGGGATTATTGCAGAGGTAAGAGTGGTGCTCCTTTCTTTCTGTCTTTTCTTCGTGGGCTGAATTAGAGCTCTTTCTTCTGATCAGACAGATCCCTTTAATAACACTACCTGGCCAAACTCAAGAGATGCTGCCTACCAAGCTGAGATGCTGCTTTTCATGCTGAGATTTCTCACTGCTATTCCAGCCTTGTAACCCAACAAGCAAGCAAATATTGTGAATATATGAATGATTACTATTTAGGGTTGCTTCGCTGATAATGCAGAATGATTCTGTTCAATGAGCCATGCTCAGTGCTTGAGCTAGAGGAAGAAAGATTTGGAGAATCAAATTCCAGTTAGGACAAACTGTAGTGGGAGTGCAACCTTCTCAACCAAATTGCTTTATAAAGAGAATTAGCCGGTAGGTCTCTGCTGCAGGCATGTCACTTGCTGCAATCAGAAGGGTAAGAATATTGCAATCTGGCCCATAATAATGATAATTAAAATTCAAAACAAAATGGGCTGGACTGTACATGTGGCATGTAGTAGATCTGTCCTGCTCTGGCCAGCTGAAGCCTTACTGAAGCCATGAAATGATAGGATTTCAGCTGTTCTGCAGTGATCATGCACAAGTGTGAGTTCTTTGTTCATTTTTTTTTTGTTGTTAGCAAAACATGAGTTTTGCATGTATTTGAGGCTTCATCAAGTGCTCCCTGAAGATGAAATAAATTTATTTAATTTATCATTGAAAGCATTCTTATTGAATAAATTCTTATTCAGACTTCTACTGTGTCATCGTGATCTTTCAAATGCTAGAATACAAAAGGAGAGATTCTAGTGAATGCTATTCACAGCAGTCTTTTGTCCTTTTCATCTCCATGGCTGCAGATGATTTTGTTCAGGAGACTGAATATCGCCTGGTTTTTATCTTCTGTGAGATGATCCTTGTCGGAAATGAGTCTCAGGAGCACATGTGGATAGCTATATATATGTACATATTATTTATTTAAGGAACTATTTATGCAAATAGCACTGATGAATTGTGCAAGAGATGTCATTTTGTCAGCCAGGGCTTCCGAAGTTCAGACAGAAGGGATTAATGGTGCAAGTCTTTTACCTCTTCTGTTTGACATGAAGCAGATTGTAATTTTATGAAATAACAGTGTGGAGGGCGAGATGATGGCCTCTGAGCTGCACTCAGCTCTCCAGGGTTACACTGGAGGTGATATTGGCTCATCAGGGTCGTGCAAATTTTAAAACTGAGGTTGTTTGTTGTTTTTCTAATTGTATATTTGAAAACAGTTTGAAGGAAGCTGGCTTTCTTGTGTGCTAGCAAGTCTGTGGAAAGTCTTTCTGAGACTGTCAGAGAGATCTGAAATAAAATATGTAATGAATTTAAATAGATTTTCTGTGTTATGCAGAGCTTTAAATGAACCCAATTCTTGTAATTCATGTGAAGCATTTAATCTCTTTTCCCTGTGCTGATTTAAATAACTCCCAAAGTAGCTGTCTCTCATGGCACCTGACTTCTTATTGAATAATTCTATTGGTAGTGACACTGCTATTACCATAATCTGGGGTTTGGGAAGGATAGTCTTTATTACTGATGCAGGAAATGATGGAAGGTTTCTCATGCTAGGAATAATTGGGGAAGAAAAGGTTTCCTGGTGTTCAAGCAACTCCTGAATACAGAACTTATTTAATTTACATATAAATACTTTGTTAATGAGAAATAATGGAATGGAAGTGATGGGGTGGATTACAGAGAAGTAAAAATGCTTTAGTGAAATACTGTAGGATACTCAGGTTATGCATTCTTGAGCACGCACCACTCAGTGTCTAAATCAGTTGCTACCAAGGAAAAATGACTTGAATGAATTTTGTCATTTGCTTTGTGCCACTGATAGCTCATTATAAAAGTCCTAATGATGTGTGAGATTGGACATTGAATCACTAATATGGAATCTGTGCCAAAGCTTTCACAACTTGTGTATTCATTTATATTTGTATCCAGCTTGTCTCTTGATGCATACACACAGAAAGTGAGTCCAGAAGATTTGGGGTTGAGCTTGTTTGGAGATTCGAAGTTCAAAGCAAGAAGGAGTTGAAGATGTAGTTTTGTTTTGATCCACTCCATTTTTCACAGAGGCATCAGCCAGCTGGGACAAAGAAAAGCTCTTCTCTTTTCCATATTTGGTTGAAAATTTCAACCAGCTCAAAGAATGAAAGTGAGGGTCAATTTCAGCACCATTGCTGGGTCAATTCAGGACCATTGCTTTGTCCTGGGCAGTACAGCAGAAATGTCTGAGTTAATTTAAAATAATAATAATATATATTTAAATCTTGCTTTTCATTTTTTCAGTATAATCATGAAAAGTAACAATAAAAATAATTTTAAATTTCTAAGTATGTTAACTCTTGTACAGTTTTAGTATGAATTTCTTGTTTGTAGTAAATATATGGGAAGTGATGAATCAGAAGTGTTTTTTTTTTTCTTGTTTCTAGCTTGAAGTAGTAGAGAACAGTATTAATAAAAATCAGAGGAGGAAAATAAGAAATTGAACAATTACTCTGTTGTGTTTAGACCAACGTAGGACTGATTTTTTTTCCAGGCCAATTAAAAAATAAATAAAAGGTAAAAGTGACTCAATGGGAAAAATGAGAGTTTTAAGGTCTCTGCTTGTGTCTTAGGTTGATGAAGCAGCGCTTATGAAACGTTACAAGCAAGGATGGCTCATGGAAATTTCTAATGACTTGGACCACTGCATTGCTCGCCTCAGGTATGGCTTGTAACATTACTCAGCTACTTTATCTCTACACTCTGTTCCTCACTTTATATCTCTCTGCTCTGTGCCATTTTAGTATGCACAGAAGAGGGGTTGAAGGACATCTCCTATCCCAGGTCTGATTTTTGAGTGCGAATCCAGCCATATTAGTGACTACTAATGCTTAATGCTTGCTGTTACTCATGCTTCATATAATTTATACTGTGTGTTAAATGTTTCTTCACGGTGCCATGAATATACATATATCCATTACATCTAGTGTTATGCTTCAAGAGTTGATCATTCTTTCTGGAATGACTGATGAGCAACTGCATAAAGGACAAAAGTTCTGTTGCCTAGCTGGGTGTTGCAGACTGCATGCAGACTGTTAGTTTTGGTTGCAGTGTGTGTATTGCAACATAGTGCATGATGTTTTGTTTTTGTTTTTTTTAAACCAGTCTTTTAAAATCTGTTCTAGAGATGCAAGGAAGAATAAAATTGCCCTCAGTTTGGGTTACCATGGGAATGTGGTAGACCTGTGGTAAGTAGTATATATGGGTGATGGGTATATTACTGCTTTGGAACTTACTTCCAGACTTGGAAGGGAAGTGGTGTTGAGCATAGGGCTGAGTTCGTGATTCTGGATGTTCATGAAAAACTTCATTGGCAGAAGAGGTATCTTCATCTTCTGTCACAGTTCTCAGTTGCTTCTTGTGCATTATCTTCCCTTATGAAACAGTGAATTTCCTAGGGAAAGAAATTACTGAGATTTGTCTTCAAATGAAGACCCTCTAACCCTCTTTCTCCTAACCTTTCACTGACTGGTTAGCAAGAAAACATCTGACTTCAGTGAAGAGTAGAAGTATTGAGGCATTGGTAGAATAAAAATATCAGATGATGGGTATGAATTCTAGCACTCTGAAGGTTTTATCCAGTGCTAAACCTTGCTTTTACCTCATGGGCCAAGGTCTGAGACTGACCGATACAACTGGTATTTGACTCATCTACTGGTGTTCCTGTACAGGAAGATGTGAAGTATAAGAGTTGTGCATATATGTTCACCATGATTTCCCACCTCCTGCCTGCTAAAAGAAGACAGCCTGCTAAGGGCATATGTTTATAAACAGCTGTTTTGATAGTGGAATCTCACCTGAAAGAGGAGCTTGAATATGAAATAACAGCTTCTGTTCAAACACTGTTAATTATCTTCCCTTCCTCCCCAGGGAGAGGCTTGCATATGAGCTGGACACAACAGGGGAGCTGCTAGCTGATCTGGGGTCTGATCAAACTTCATGTCACAACCCATTCAATGGGGGATACTATCCAGTCCAGCTTGGCTTTGAGGAAGCAAAGCAGCTCCTGTCTACCAATCCAGGGAAGTTCCGAACTCTGGTACAAGAGAGGTAAAAATGTCTTAGTGATGCATGTTTTTAACCTTTAAGTTTAGTTGCTTTGCACGTGATTGCAGATTCCTGAAAGATATGACTTCTCTCTGTTAGATATGCAGTATCACAGCAATGGCTGTGACTCAGTTCAAGATTTGGGGATAACAAGTGCTGCAGGGTTTGAAAGTATCTTAAGTCTTTTGTGGGTTTGTCTGAATTTATTTATTTATTACATTTCACCTGTTTCCCTCCATTCCCTTGCTTTTAGTAAGCTCATGATAATATTCTCCTTGATATTTAATCGATCTCAAGAATAACTGTTTCATTCTTCATTTCAGTCTGAGGAGACATGTGGCTGCTATTAACAGACTAACTGATAAAGGCATGTTTTTTTGGGATTATGGCAATGCTTTTCTCTTGGAGGCTCAAAGAGCTGGTGAGTAGATCCTGGAAAAGTGGAAATGAGGACAATCTGGATTACGTCTTCCTATCCCTATTCTTTGATAGGATAGAGTTGGCCACAATGTTGTACAAACTCTCTAGTCCTTCCCATTCTCTCACTTATTGCCTCTTATTTAAAAAAACTCCTTTTATAGGTGCTGATGTTGAGAAAAAAGGAGCCAATAAAACAGAATTCAGATATCCTTCCTATGTTCAGCACATCATGGGGTATGTTGGATTGATCCTGCAGTGAAGCACTCAAGTGCTTTATGACTATTGGTGTCTAGAGGTATTGTACTAAGAAGGTGCCATTTAGTTCAAATCTTGCAATGTACTGTACAAGATGAAAAGGAAGTAACTGTAGCAGTAGTAAACTTATTCTCACAGGAGGTATGTCACAGTTACTCTTTTTTTTTTCCCTCTATTTTGGAGTGGTGCCCAATGAGTCTTAGGAAGACGTCCCATAGGCTAGAAGCATCATCCTTGTCTTTTCTATTGGTTTCAGTAGAGCTACTCCTCACGTTTTCCTTTGAACAGGGAAAAAGAAGAACTAGACCCAGGGAGATGTGTTATGTGTGGTTACTATGAAGCTCTAGTAGCAGAGTTGTTCTGCTGATGCTCTGTAGTGAAAGACATGATGTGACAAATCTTGATAATTTGGTGTAAAGCTTTATCCTTTCCAGGATTAAAAAGTCATACGTAAACAGATGTCAGATGTCTGAACAATAAGCTAAAACATTGCCAAATCAAAGCTCTTCCTTACATTTCCTTCCAGCAAATGTCTGGACTTGGGTTCTTGTTCAGAACTAGAATTGTTGATAGTGTAGATGCACTCAGGGTTAGCATGGCCTAAGGACGAAAAGACCAGGCAACAGTAAGAGTGCACTTTATGAAACTGAAGAACAATTGCAATTCATTGATGATGCACTTGTTTGATTGAACTGTCCAAATGGGGGTCTGACTGTATTTCATATAATCCAGTCAATAACTGTATGAAACATTGCTGTTTAATTAGTTAATGGCTCTTGATGTTTCTGTTTAGATTAGTTCATCGAAAATGTTTGAAATTCTTCTGTCTCTAGCTAATGAAAGAAAAGCACTGCTAGCAGCCAGGATAAATAAAGAAAGAATTCCAACCATCTCTTAATGAAGAATGTTCTCTTCTCAGGGACATTTTTTCCCTGGGATTTGGGCCATTCCGCTGGGTTTGTACCTCAGGTGACCCACAGGACCTTGCTACCACTGACTCAATTGCCATGTCTGTGCTGGAGGACTCAATTCGACAGGGAGGTAAGGCAACATCACGTGCCCTCATCACTGGGAGTGGTTTGGAGAGAAAACTGATCAGAATTTTGCAGCATGATGGCTTTTGGCTGAAACCATAATGAGCACTCTCTTGCCTGTTCCATGTGGGCAGGAGATGGATGTCATTGTTCCCAAAATTCCTGTAAGGATTATAACCAGTAGGTAAAATAGAGAAACACCATCTGGAGAGGCTATTGATCCCAAAACTATCATTGTAATTTTGGCTGAGAGCGTTTCTATTCTTTTGCTATTTTCCTGTACTTTGTCACCTTGTAACTTTAAGGCAAACAGTGTCTTTCATCAGGTCTCCATGTGTTTTATAAAGGAGTCAAATTGCTTTGCTGCTATCTCAAAGAGGAACGAGGGATATGAATCTGGAGATTTGTTAGAGAGGTTAGAAAGCAGATCAGTTGCAGGAAACCCAGGTTTCATTGGGCCTGGTGCTCCATCCAGTGTCATTTGTTTGTGATTACAATTTTGAGGTCCAAAGCTTTTTTTTATTTTTTAATAAAATGAAAGCTGGTTGGTTCCATCAATGAGTAGAATCTAGAGTAAATATTGTGTTTACTACTCTGCTATCTAAGAATTGCACTGTTCCATATCACTGAAAGTGAGGTACTGCTGTTATCCCCAGTTTATGAATAGGAACAGAGACAAGGCTGTTAGCAAGCTGAATCCCAGTCTCCAAGATTACAGTGTGAAGTTCTACTGCTTTCCCTTTCTTTGTCTGCTTTCACAGTAGCTGGACATCAGACTCAAACTTTTAAGTGTCATTGTTCTGCAGCACTGCAGTCCTCTGCTCTTCTGTTTCCACACAGGGGAGGTTTGTACTCCTTGGAATCAGAAATAAATGGTTTGCAAATCCAAATTATTATGGGGAGGAGAGCATATTTATATCTGATTAATTTATTTCTTCCTGTTTTTTATGTTAAAATATTTTCTGCTTCTTTCACAAAAGAAATCAATGGAGTATAAATGAAAGATTTTAAGTGTTTTTCTATTTGTTCTGGAATGGTTAGTATTGTAAGGATGTACCACATTTGGATACATTCCTCATTTGAACTAATGCTGCTATTGTCTTCCTATAATGAGGATGGATGTTAGCCTTAATACTTCTTTGCAAGAGGTGAATTATTGGTGGAGGGTGTCTGACTGCCAGGTTGTCAGCTCCATCTGCTTCCTTAAGCTTTCTCTAATTATTATCTTGAAGAAATAGCACTGGACTATGAGGTGTTTCTAATGCTCTGACCCTAATGTGTTTGATCTGTTTTGTGGATGATGAAGTTTTCATGTTTTTAAACCTGATCTCTTGGGTTAGTTGAAGGAAAGGAGAAATCCAGTACTGCCGTGTTTTCAGAAATCTCTAGCAGTTTGTCTTGTATTAAAATTGCCAGTCATCTGTTCTCAAGACTGAACAGATACATCACATTTGGATGGTTTGCACTGCAAGACTAGGAAATGAATCAGATACTACGTGTTCAATGGTACATGGATGTTTATATAGATGTTAATGTAGAGCTGAGCAGAGAATTTTTGTTAAAAAATAATGAATTGTATTTTGGCACATATACTCTTCTAAGAATACTAAAAATGAAAAAAAAATGGCACTTCAAAAATCCCAACAGGTGAAAACAGGCTTAAGGGCAATGCTATTATTGGATTTTCTGCTGCATTTGGCAGGATAGTGGGAAGAAGAAAACAGAATCTGGCCAGAAAGTAAGCAGGCATTCATGGGTTCGTGTTCATAACTGTTGCGTTTGCTGTCTTGCTCCCTGAGGGATCTGGGCTTGGACCAAATTCTAGGGTCTGGATATTCTCACATACATATGCATCTAAAATCTGAACCTGCCTTTGAATTTTGTAAAAGGATCTGTTGTGATGGTTGAAAGAAAACTCCAAAGAGCTGGCGTCTATTGCATTCCAAATCTAAACTTATGACCTGGCCTCAAATCTGATGTTAGCTATTCTTCTTTTGGGGAGATGAATCGTTATGCTTCATCCTCACAGACTGAAAAAAAAAAATACAAATATCCTGCGTGGTTTTATCTGCTTCCACTTCTGAGCTACCTGAGCTCTTACGTTGGCCTTTGTGCAAGAGATGCAGCCTAATTCATATTTTCTGCCTTCGTGGCAGTTTGAAGGCTGAGCTGTTAACTATACAAATCTCCTAAGATCAAAAGGGAGATCTATTTGAGTGCTATTCCTCTGAGTGCAATATCTTTTACTATCTTGCAGAGCCTAAATAAGTAGAGAAATGCCTGTGAAATACCGGCACTGACACAGTAGCCTGCCTGGATTAGGAAGAGGTTGCTTTTGGGACGTGGGATGGGGGAGTTGACAGCAGTTTAACAAATGGGACAGATGGAGCTGAAGTTAAGCTCTTTCTAGAAGAAGCTTTAAGATTCTCAGCTGCAGGAAGGAAGACCAAATAAAAGGGAGAATTCTTCCCTTCCCCAGAGATAACAGATGATATCCAAGTTGGGCAACGCCACAATTTAGGATAGAGATTCTAACTGTTTATTGGAGCAGGCTGTGGGAGACAGACGTGTTATGTTGGTATCTCCCTGCAGCTGGTTTGCTCCTCTGCCTTCCCTTCTAGGGACATTCTATAGGATTAGCAGACAGATCTTTTCCATAAGTCAGTGCACTGCGAGGAATAAAAGGTGACAGGTATTTTCTGTGAGAGCTTATAAAAGTGGCAGAAAGGAACTCTTTTCACTTTTCTGTTTTCTAAACAAGCAGATGTTTCATCTTTCTCTCCCTGTGAATCTAAGAGCTGGCACGTTAATCCTCATTGCTGTGTTTGGAAACTCTCATTTGGAACCAACCCATAAAGCACTGACAGGTCCTTTTAGGATTGTTAAAACTTTGTGTGGAAGGACTGCCTCTGCAAGAATGACTGCATTTAGTGCTTCCCTCTAATGGCATGTTTAGCCCAGAATAGTTCTAGTTTTACTGTAGGTATTTGCAGTCATATTGTGTAATAGAATCACTTTTCAATTACCTGGGACAACTTCAAATTAGCAGTGTTCAGTTACTCCAGTTTGACTTTCACAGGTAAGTCATTTGTATGTTGTAGTTTGACTTGAGAACTGGTGAGAGATGGGAAGTGGTAGGAAATACATTAGCTTGGCACAGGCAGAAGCTGGAGGGTGGTTGAGCTGTTGTATGCAGTTCTTTCCTCAGATAATATACATGCCTAAACAAGGTATAGGGTGGGTTTATACGCAGTGTTGCTAGTCTGTCATATGTTTTTTTCTGTGCAGTTTGTGCTCCATAATAATATGAGGCAACATAATTCTGTCTGTAGGATAAGTAACGTCATCTTGGAGTAAGAACATTCTCATAGGCAATTCAGTATAGAGTAATTGCAGTGCTATAAATCCACATCCCAGCACAAGTGTAGCTCATCCTCAGTATATATTACCAGCTGCTTCTGAGAATTTCAGGCAGATAGTCAAATGAGTTATTTACTACCTGATAAAACATTGAACTATGGCACCCAATATCACAGAGTTCGCTAAAGTTTCTAACTTAACAAAGGCTCAGAAAGGGTTTGGGCATTTAGTAGGCAGCAGGCCGGGTCACCAACAAAGAACAATATGTGTAACCCATATTTCAAAGTTTAATTTAGTTTGCTAAAAATCTGAATGAGAGTTATTATTCCAGCTGCCTCCTGAGCAACATTCGTACCTTCCTCTAAAATATATTTTATGAATTACAGTGCTGGCTGCAAAGAAGACTCAATGCAGCACATCCTATATGCGTGCTTGTAGCAGAGAGCAGGAATATAACTTGCTAGTGCTGTCAGATGAATTTAATTTAATTTAGAGCATATTGCATTCATTTTCAAAACCTATTTCTTTCTTGCTTTCCCTTGCAAGTGAGCACATCTGTGAAGCAGCAGTACCATGACAACATCCGTTGGATTCGGGAAGCTGGGAGGCACAGCTTGGTAAGTGCACATCCTTCCTCAGGACAAGTGACTGCTCCTGGTCCAAACAGTTCACAGTGTTGGAATGAAAAGTGGGTATGGGTATGAATGAAAACATGAGCAGTATACAGGTGACAACTCAAACATCTCTCCACAGCAGGGCTTTCGGGTGAGCTGAAATGGTTCTTTCCCTTCACTCCCCTCCCCCCCCAGTCTGGAAACGTTCAAATAATACACAAGATCTAGCCTTATACCTGGAGTGAAACAGGGCAGTATTCATCCTCTATCTGTAACTGCCTTTCAGCACCATTCAGATTGTCTTTTTTGGCATTCACTTGCCCTGACCTCATTGGACCTGCAGCTCCCATCACCCTTTCCAAAACTGGTACACTGTGTTGTGTTGTATTGAAGCAGGATGGTGATGAGGCATCCTTTGTATTTCTTTAAGGCCGGGCTCTCACTGCAAAGCTAACTGGTAACACTGAAGGGCTTACACGTGCTCTCCTCATCTGGAAGCCAGACTGGTCTGTGGAGTAAAGGCTGAAGAGGAGCATAGCTGTGCAGGACAGATGTTCTCTGCCGTTCTTTGCCTTTGCGTTTCTCTTTCTTTCCAGCCCATCACCAGTTCCAAACATCTGCTTCTCAGCTGTTGATAAGGCATTTGTTGATAGTCTAGCAATGGGGTTGATTTAAAAAGTGGGATTATTGGACAGTAGCAGCTGATTACAGGAATACATCTTGCAGATTGTGTGAGCAGAGATAAAACTCTGTTCAAAGAGGCCTTAATTTCTATTTTCTGGAAGCTGGAAGTTGATGAACAAATAATCTGTATTTTCTTCTACAGAAGGGGACAATCCTCTGACTGCATTTATCTGGGGCCAGAAGATAAGCCGGTTGCACGGAAAACCTTATCACTGTGGCTTTTCTTATTTTATAGGTTGTTGGATCTCAAGCTAGAATCTTATATTCCGATCAGAGGGGTCGTGTGTCTATAGCCACAGCTATTAATCGAGCGATTGCTGAAGGAAGGATTAAGGTTTGCCTTTTTCCTCTTGATATGGTTTGGTAATTGTGTTTTATATCTGATAGCAGCATGGCAGGTGGGAAAGGAGAGAGCTTCCACCAATAAGAGCAGAGACGCCTGACATTTACATGGATGCAGTACTCTGTTAGCATGTTCCATTCTCCTCTCAGTCAGCAATCAGTTTGGTGTTGTGTAACAAACAGGCAAGTCTAGAAACTGAAAATATGTTACCTTTTATTTGACATTGGGAATCTGCCTTATTTGGTATTTGACCGTCTGTAGGTATAACATAAGCTGTGGTTTTGTAGCATGAAGTGGGGAAAAAATGAATTGGGACAAACATTCGGTGATTTTAAAAAGGAATTTCTGCAATAACTGAATTGCTGTGTTGAGTTTGAAACATTCAAATGAGTAACCTCACATCTGTTGATTTGATTCAAATTCCTGTTTCTTTCCTTCTCTGGATGGTAAAACTTCTATGAAAGATTGCGATCTCTGCTCATAAATAGGCTTCATCAGTGCCCTGCTGTTTCCTGATTGTATGTATACAGCAGTGTCAGATCCAGGCATGTCCATTCTTTCATTTTCATCTCTTTTACATCCGAGCTACAATAATTACCCTTTTAAAAGGGACAAATCCAAGTCAAATTTAGAATGGATTCCATCAAGGAAAGGTCTGTGTTTTTGTTACTCAGATAATGTTTGTTAAAATATTTCAAATGTTGAGCTGTTGACCTTCTCAGGATTCAAAATGAACGTCACTGCAAGCTAATCTTAAAAAGTAAACCTGACCAGACAGAGAACTCCCTTGGAGCTACGACTGACAAGGTCAAAATCCCAGGCCCTTCAGATTTTGTCCTTTTTTGTGTTTCTTCAAATCTCCATTCACCCTCTTGAAAGCTGGGTGCTCATATCTAGTTTCAGTTATTTTCTAATCCAGTGCCAGCATAGAACAGAGCCAACTAATTCCAGACCACACTATGCCAAGAAAGTGAATGACTCTCATAGAAACGTATGCAAGGCGAATGGTAATGAAACCCTGCAAACTGATCTAGATTATGCTGCCAGTTAAATTCCAGATCAAGAATGGTCTTATTTGATTTGTGTGAGAACACTAATTCTTCCTGCTGCCTTATTTGTAGTCTTAAAGCCTTCCAAAAGAATGGAAAAAAAACCCAACAAAAACAAAAACAAAAAAAAAAAAAAACAAAAAAACCCCATAACTATTTATTTATGGTTGCTTGGAAAAATAACTGTTTTCTGAATGAGTTCTTCTGCACTGAAATGTGTTTGCAATTTCAGCAGAGAAAGGTTTCAGGTATTGAAATAGCCACACTGCTTCTCCTTTCCCTTTTAAGGATGTAATTTTCATAAAAACTAACTCATGTTCTCATTTGTGAAATGATGCTGGCTGTCATGAATAGCGTGTCAGCGTTCCTTTTGTAATAAATGGATAGGAGGGAGAGAGAGGTTCAGGGCATTTAGGAGGTGGGACAAAGCTGTGCTTTTTGATGACTTAAGTAGAAGCAAATTCAGCAAAAGATAACCCATGGTAGCACTGACAGCTCATGCAGGACTCCATTTGCTGTCTTTTTTGCTTTTGCAGGCTCCAGTAGTCCTCAGCCGAGATCACCACGATGTGAGTGGGACTGACAGTCCTTACAGAGAAACATCAAACATTTATGATGGATCAGCCTTCTGTGCAGGTCAGCAGAGCACCTGAGACTTGTCTGTACAGGCAAAAAAGGAAATGCACCTATATATTGAGAGATACACATATATATTTTTGATGTTTTAAAATGGTTTTTATTCAAACCCTTTAATCCTAGTTAATCAGACTTTGTGAACTTGGCACAGTAGCTGTCAAGTCAGAAATGAATGTGGAGCTACTTAAATAGGAGGGGCTCAGAAGAGTCCTGAAAATTCAGTGAAGATGTACCGAATTTACCTGAATGCAGATGGAGAGCAGTTGGTCTTAGAGAACTGCACCTTGTATTTGATTTTAATTTTGCGCCTCTGTCTTTCCAACAAGTGATGTGAGCAGAGTTATGGCAGGGCTTCCTGGGGATACACAAAATGAAAATGAGATCTCAAATAGCATTTTTCTTAAAGACTCATGGTTCTGTTCATTCATTTCTCTGGAGTTTCTGAAAGGAGCTTTTCTGGTCATAGAGGAACGTACTTAGATAGTAAAAGCACAAGAATGAAGTCAAGAGTTCTGGATTCGATGCCATTCCCTGTTTCTCACTCACAGTGTGACTGAGCAATGTATGTTTGCTGTTCAATATGAGCCTTTAATTCTGCAATCTTGACCTGAACTAACCAGAATCTGCTTTTAAGAAATGAAGGAATGGTGCTGTAGGAAAAAATAAACCCAACAGATACCAGATTATGGATGTGAAACATGAGTGAAGCACTAAACATTTCTGTATCTAAGTCTCAATCTTCCATCCATAATTATGATAACAATTTTAACTCAGTAGTGTCTTCACATGCCATGAACTGACAATCATTCAATGACCCAAGGCAGGAGGATGCAAGTTGCTGTAGAAGGACACTTTATGATTGAGGTAGCTGGGAATACTGAACAACTGCCATTAGGACTGGAAATTCATAATAGAAACAAATTATGGGTCAATGTTCAGGAGAAAAGTTCCCTGCTATCTTAAATGGGCTGCCTGATGAAATGAGGCTTTTAGCAGTGCCTATTAGTCTCACTTCAACATTTTTCTGAGAATGTTGGCTGGTTGCAATGTGCCAGATGGACAGAGGCCTGAAATAATGTTTGTTTCTGCCAAGCTGCACAGAGAACAACAATCCAAACGGATGCCTCCACCAAAGGGCTCAGCCATATAATAAACACCAGGCAATGCCCTCAGGAGAGGGCAACAGAATCAAGGCCTGCTAAACGCAATTGCTTACTATGCTATCTGTTTTTCTATGAGTTTTCTGAATTACATGAACTATCTGCCTTCTGCAAGGGCTTTTCCAAATCCTAATGGCCACTGATTCTGCTCGTCTTTGAAACCAAGTGAGCCTCTGGAGGTAATTAAAGAACACCTTACATCTCAGGTCTTCCTCTCTCTTCTCTCCTTCCCTTCCTGCTGTTTTAACACCACTTTTGAGTTGTTTCCATTGAAATGGCTCTTCTCTGGCATAGAACTTTTAAGTCTCTGCCTGTGTAATTTTGTTCTACACTAAGTACCTCCATCTGATCCTTGTCAAACGTGGGCCACTGCTGCACTGCAAAGTGTATTTCAGCACAGACATTTACACAGTTAGTGACCTTTATCAAAGCCAAGGAGCTTGACGTTATTACGTCGTTATCCCACTTGCCATGCTTCTTTTCCAACCTCCGTTCTTATCATCTGCTGGCTGAGGAAGAAAATCGTATGTGTTAAGAATAAAGAGAATTGAATATCTCCCATTCCCTCCTGACAGCACTGCAATTATGATAATTGGGTTATTAAAGTGACATAATGCCAGAGAGAAGATGCCATAATGGGCTTTTGACAGGGTTTAACATAGATTAGTGCTCAAGTAAACTCATTTTTCCATCAAATATATACTAACTGTGGGTTTGCAAGTGTGACCACTTTGAGTGCTGGCATATTTTTGCTATTAAAAGCAACTGCTTCTGAATTAAACCTGGATAAATGTCTTCAGTAAATTTTACATTGTTGTTCTCCATATGTACCTCTTTTGAGGTATATGCTTTAGTACAAACTGTAGTGAATGTATGACGCTCTAGTGAATATATCAGCAGAAATGATGCATTTGAGGTTTTTGGTTTTTTTTAAACAAACATCCCCTGTGATTTCAGCAGTTCAGGGCAAAATTCTCTGTGGCCAGAGAACGCTGCCATCGCACTGCCACAGTGGAGATGGCAGTGGAAGGAAGTGAGCAGCCAACAGAAAACAAATGCAGCACGTCTGAGCCATGGTAACACCTCTCCTCTCTTCCTAGACATGGCGGTACAAAATTTTGTGGGAGATGCATTCAGAGGAGCAACCTGGGTTGCCTTGCACAACGGCGGTGGAGTTGGCTGGTGAGAACTTGTTGGTGTTCCTAAAGCTGGATTATGAAACCAGTTATCACTGCTGGGGGAGGAGCAAGAGACAGGAGGGGAGCAGTGTACTGTACCACTGGCGTAGTATGGTGCTATGGTCATGGGAAGGGTAGGTTTGGAGGCAAGGGCTGAAAGGATGCGTTATAAGGTGAAGTGTAGTTCTGTATGAGGCTCTTTTAATTCGTTTCCATATGTCAAGAAAAAGTGTTTTGGACATTGGCCACAGCACAGTTTGGATAACTTAATTTGCCAAACAAGGACAGTCTGCTGTGGTTTTCTTGAAGAGATCCCACTTCCAAAGTTGTCTTCACACATGCACAGTCAGAGTGTTAGTGGATGGATTATGTTTAGGTTTCCCCTTAAGCTATATTTAAATCTGTGACCTTAGGACCCCAATATAAATGCCCATGTGCTAAAGTGCAGTGAGGGGTTATTGATGCAAAGCAGCTCAGGTACCAGCAAACCCTCAGTCTTCTTTCTCCCTTTGCGTGCGCTCGGCAGCACGAAAGACCACAGCCACGTCTTCATTTTTTGATGTAGCCAAAGAGAGACAACCCTGTATGAAATACTCTAGTGATCCCTCTCACTTCACTGTTTCATTCAGTTCTGGAATGTGCCAACAGCAGCAAACTAAAGAACTTGTTGCAGATGTTATCCTCAGAGACATTTGATGATAATTATTCCTTGTCCAGATGAGCTTGAGCTAAAAAAAGTTACCCTTCAACTCAGATGCATTCCCTTCCCTGTACTCCTTTGATTTTTTTCAGTGGAATAACTACTGAATGGAAGGTGTGCAAGAGAAAAACTGAACAATGGGATAAGAAAACGTTGAGGGCTTATACACATGCAGTGAAAAATGTGACTTTACTGATGCCAGTAATAACAACCACAATAATCAGGGCTTTATTCACAACTTCCAAATGGAAAACGCATGCTGTAATGTCTGCTTACTGTGATCACCTCAGTCACAAACTTGAGATAGCAATGAACTACATCTTTCTGAATGGCTTTAGCTGAATTTAACCTTTTAAAACATCTGCTTCTGGAATACAAGTGAAGAAAAGCAGTTTCTAGTGACTGTTGTGCAAAATATTTTGAGTATTTTCATGATGGCTATTTACAATCACTGGAACTGAAGAAGTAATTGCTTATGCCACAAATGTTCTTCTGTGCACTGATGATGCTCTGTCAGAATCCAAAGGATACGAATGATCTTGTTCCCTGTCTCTGGCCTCTTCAAAGCCAATCCCTCCTGCACGTTTCTCACCCTCTGAGCAATGCAGACTGGCTGCATGGTGAGACTGCCCTGGCTCCTAGCTCCTTATACTACATTATTGGAAAGAAGCGATCCCTGAAGGCAGAGCAAAGGTGCTGTCATCTGTGTACTGAACTGGAAAATCAGCGAGTGGCTGTTTCCTGAAATCAAAATATCCACAGAAAAGCAGGGCTTGATTATCCTCTTACCCAGTTCCTGTGGCTGCTTAGGGTTCTCACTGCAGAACAGTATCTGCTCACCTTACTCTCTGGAGTGGTCATAGCCTGTGTGATTAAATTACTGTGCTTCAGTGAAGAAAGTGGAGCCTGAAAATAAGGCTTGTCTTTGCACGAGCCTTAGAAAACCACCATGCTGAGACTCAGATGTGCTAACAATGCTGTGTCATTACATGCCATGGTCTGTGGAGCCCCAAAAGCCATGCAGGACAGGTGGTTCTGTTTGGGTTAACTAATCCCAGTACCACCCCGGCCAGTTAAACCTGCACCCCTTGGCCTTCTAAGGAGAAAAAGAGGAGCAATTTGAAGGTGGGAAAAGAAGCAAAACCATCCCGCAACAATTACAAATTACTTTTATTGCTGCAAAGATGGATGCTTTTAGATTTTAGGACTGATTTGCTTCCTCTAGGGAGGTAAAGATACAACTGACTTTGCCATGAAGAAATTTCCGTGTGCCTGGTAAAATCTCTTTGTCAGTTGATGTGGAGGTGTGAAAGTGAAAGTGTGAAAGCTTATACCTGTATGTGGATATATACACATTCAAATGTGTGTAATTAGAAGGAAATCAAGTTGTCATTGGACTACTTCTTTTTTTGGGAGATCAGAAACAGCTATTGCACTGTGTCCAGCTCCCAGTCCTCCCTGCAGAAGCTGGGCTTGGCTGGAGCTGCTGACAGATCTGCTATTTCTTCTGTATGAGACCAGAAATTCTGTGCTGTAGCCTTGTGGGGCAAAGAGGGGGGAGGAGGGGGAAGGAAAGCCAGGATTAATATTCATTTAGCTGGAATCTGCATCATGTGCTGTTTGAGAGACTTAAGATTAGCATAGTCTTGACTGTGATTATTGCAAGTGAATGTTATTCATTTCTTGCTGCCTGTTTTTTTTGCAGTATGAATAGCGCAGGGTCTGAGTACCTGTAGTACAAGAAGGCAGAAGTAATTTAAGAATTGAATTGCTCTGTTGACGGTGTGACATCTTGTTTGTGAGGGAGGCCTTGTTTTCTTTGATCACCTTGGAAGGAGACATCTGGAAATTATAGGAGGCAGCTTAGGTCAAAATGCCACATGTTTCTCTAATTACCTGAAAATATGACCCAATGCTAATGAAGGCAGAGAACTCCCCTTTAAAAGTGAGAGGTTTTGCTAGAGAATCCATTCTAACAAATGGTGGCATTCAATTTGAGTGACTTTTAGACAGTAGGACAGATTCTGATGAGTGATTCTGATTTACATTGGAGTAACTCCATGGAAATTGATGGAGAGACTGTAAATTTATGGAGTGCAACTGAGATCAGACACTCGCTGCTCATGCCTGAGCTTCAAAGGATGCTCTTTGGGATGCTGTGCACAGAAGGGATCTCTGCCACTGAAAGAACATCAGCTGCCAATGTGGCAAGTCTTTATAAAGCATCACTCTGGAGGCCTCTTGCTGTCAGATGCTGTCAGTGGGCTGCCCTGAGGTGTGAGCGTACTGTGATCCCGATTGCACTGTGATGCCATACTGATTCTAAAAGCAGAAATGGCAGGAAGTGCAAACATTTGGATGCTTGTTTTCATCCCCAAATGAGACGAAGAGCAGATTTAAAGATTTCTCACAGTAAGAGCTGTTTGTGTTACTGTTGAGTGTTGATCAAAAAGAATCATTTTGTGTCAGAGTTTACAGTATTCAAACACCTCAGCTGAAAACATGACTGAAATTTTCTTGCTGAAGAAGGAAACATTCATCTGCTGACATTCTGCTATGAGAATTGTCAGTTACAAGGAAACTGTGCTTTTGAACAGAAAATGTTTGTAATAGTAGTATATCTAATAAAGTGGAAGGAATTGCAGTAAAGGTACAGTGACTGTGAGAGCTGGAGCTGAGAGTTCCTTGCTCAGCTATGTGGTAAGGTCCTACTTATCACACAGGCAGTGCATATAACGAGTGAAAGGGAATGAGCATCACGAAGTACACTGCATTGCAGTGACAAGGGGAAGACATGAGTGCTGGGTTCAGGAAGCAGATCTCAAGTCTGTGAGGCTCCAGTGCAGCATCATTTTCCCATTTCCTAAGAAGTTCCAGTTAGTGCTGGGAAACAGACAGTAAGAAATTATTCTTGTCTGCATTGGAGGACACCTAATTCTGTCTGACTCATAGGTATATCTCATGTCACTTGTAGTAAATTTTGTGGATGTATTCGTTATATTAAGTACAAAATGCAGAGGGTGAGACCCTGCCTCCAGGACCTCTTTTAGTCTCTCCTGCCACGTGCTGTAGGTAGGATATGCCCCATCTCATACACTGCTGATGCTGAGTTATAATGCAAGAAGTCTCTTACAGATTTACAGCAACCAATGATTTTCCAACAGAATTTACCATATGCAACCAAACAGGAACTTGAGCGGACCAGATTTTGAAGTGAGACAAGATGTATTTCCCCTGTCCTTATAAAACCAGACTGCTATTTGTCCCACATACAGTCTGTTAGTTTGTAGTATATTTCTTCTACCAATAAATCTGCTTCCTGAAGTGTTGGCACTGCAGTTTCTACACATCTATGTATCTCATACAGAAATAAATGCTTTTGAAATGATCAAGGCAGATGAGCATGAAGTGGTGCTTAACACTTTTTTAATGAAACGCTCATGTTTGTCCCAAGAGAATATAAACAGATCCATCTGTCTGCTTCAGTAAGCACACAGTCCTCACAGTCCTATGGACATGGCAAGCTCTGGCATAGAAAACACAAAGAGCTTAACCTTCAAACTACTGAGATAAGTAACTCTTTAGTCCACCAGGAGTATTTTTTGTATGAAAGGTCACTGCCAATGTGTTGTTCAGCACCATTTCTACAGTATTCTCATCCTTCTTTCCTCCAGTGCAGCTGAACAAATCCACAATGTTTTGGGGGATTGATATGCATTCTTTTGATTTGAATTCTTACATTTCTGGTTTGTTTTTTTGTTTTTTTTTAGGGGTGAAGTGATCAATGGGGGATTTGGCCTGGTTTTGGATGGGTCCACGGAGGCTGAAGAGCGAGCTAAGATGATGCTCAGCTGGGATGTTTCCAATGGGGTAAGCAAAATTCATTATACTACACTACCTTCACTACACCATACTAACTTCTAACTTCTAGATCTAAGTGTCTTTAAAGGAGGAGGAATAATTTGAACGTATTCCCTGTCTCAGATCTGAAATATCTTTACTCAACTACTGAGGAAGAAGGAGAACAATGATATCAATTCGTAGATTAATGAAGACACACCCTTACCAAGCACTGTGTATCACAGACAGCCTTTTAAAAACCCAATAAATCTCTTGCTGCTCTGATTTATTGCAAGGAAAAGCCCTGCTCCTTCACATACATATTTAAAAAGGACAATCTGGGAACATTACCCCATTATATAAATGACTAAAAAGAAACTGTCGTGCACTCTTGAAATATACTGCCAGGGATAATCACAGGTGAGTGGCAGGGAAACTGACTCGTTGACTTGAGAGGTCATTTCTAGTTGTTATGATCCTGAGAACTTCTTACAAGCCTTATGTTAATCAAATACTTAAATATTTTGTTAAGTTGGAACTGAGGGATTTTTTTGCTCAAACACTTTTGTGTCCAAATCTTTCAGATACTGACACGTGATTCATAATGCAGAGAACTGTAAGGCACTGAACACAAGGAAGCACTTGCTTCCTTGGAAGCACTCCTTCCTTATGTTTCCGGTGTTTTTCTTCATCTGGCAAACTTTTCTTGCACACAGGTCAAAATGCAGAAGGGCTTATAGTTCCCTGTCTGTGGAGCTTCTCTTGTATGCTGGCAGAGAATTTGGCCTCTTGATTTCGTATTTTGAAAATGCACTGAGTAAAATTTGCCCTTTTAAATATTTATTCAACTAAAAAGCATGTTATAAAAATCATACTGTTATCTAAAGCAACTGCCTGTTGTACAGAACTGGGATGGAGTACGGAGTGTTTTGTAGAGGGAATTCTGTGAAGTTTATAAACCTGGCTCTACCACTGTAATCAGTCCAGCAATGCAATTCTGCATGAAAATGCATCAAGTCCATCCAAATGCTACTCATATCAATGAAGTAGACTTTAAAAAAGAAAGCTATCAATAGGGAAACTAGAAACTGGCAGAGAGTTGAAAGATTTATTGTGATGAAATGGGATGCCAGTGTTTGCACAAATATCACAAAATTTGCACAAAATTGCACAATTTGCAATATTTGCACAAAATGGGACTTGGTATGGAAAATGGGCAATTTTTACACACTGATTTTCTGGTCTGACAGGTTGCAAGGCGCTGCTGGTCAGGTAATGGCTACGCGTATGAAACCATCTGCCAAGCAATGAAAGACAGTGCTGCACTGAAGGTGACTCTTCCTCAAAAAGTGGTGGATGAGAACATCTTAGAACAAGCCCTCAAATGTTAGTGGTATTCCAACTGCAATGTTATCCTGGTAGAAACGTATGATAAAATGTGCAAATGATAAAAGCCTTGCAATTGTCTCTGCCGCATGAGATTTTTTTCCTTTTAACCCATTAAAAGAGCACGTTTGGGGGAGTATTTGCAATAGGGAATTTCTCCTTGTAAGGGACAAAATTTCAGTTCCTTTCCTTGAAATAAAACTAAAGAATAATAATCTAGCTGTCCAGATGCAACCTAGAGAAATGTCTTATTTTGCACTTCAACTTCCCATAGTATGGTGTTAACAGTACCTCACTGATGCATTCTGCGATAGGCAGGGAGCTTACTCATGGTGACCTGTGCTGGCTGCTGCAGGTGGGGAGTGAGGAGCTGCACTATTTGAACTGTGGGGCCTCAAGAAACCAAATAACTTTAAAACCCTGTGGCATTTTGGTACTTAACAAGTGTGTGCTTGCTGCACCCACGCATTGCTTCTGGTGCCAGTTAAACAGTACACCTGGTGTGCTGTGTGTTGTTTTTTTTCTTCTAAATTTCAGTAGTCAGTCATTTACTCTGTTCACATAAAGTGTACATCTCCAGATGAGCAGTGAGAGGCTGGCATCTGCTTGCAACCAAACCTTCTGTGAAGTGCATTTTGCAGTTCACCAGAATTGCTTTACACTGTGGAAAAAAGCACGCATTGACAAGTTACAGCACCGAGACGTGAGCAGTTGCCAGCCAGATTTGACAGCCTTTCTTTAACATATGTTAGGCATTACCTATTAATAATCACACTGGGGTGGTGTCTTGGTAGCTCTACCTCATACAACCGCTCTAGTTGTAGCCCAAAAGAACTGGGGCACTGTTTGTCATAGGGAACATCCAGAAAATACAATGTCTTTGTGTACTATGGAAGTACAGGAACGTACTATGGAGCTGCTCTATAGTCATCTTAATTGTGAGTTGAAAAATCTACCACAGAAAATGTTGAAGAAATACTATTATGGATTCTTCACCTTTGTGTTATTTAGCACTTTGCTAACAGTAATCTGTCACTCCCTGCTGGGATGAAGCAGCTTGTGATTTCCAACAGGCAGAAGCCATAGGCCTGGCCAGGGCAAAAACTCCTTGAACTCTTCTGAGTGTCCTTGTTTTTCTGCAGTTTGCAGAGAAACTGGGTCTATGAATGGACAATTGTTCTGCCTAACTCTGTGGGGACGCTGATGTCATTTCTAGGCAGATGACCTCAGTGCTGGAAAACCTCATTACAGGCACAGCAGTCTCCTTCAAAACACACATCTGCAGTCACAGTATCAGACCAGATAGTAGATAACAGAGGAGATTAATTTCTGTAGTGAGGTTTGAAGCTTGACGCAGGTTGATTTGATATCCTTCCATCAGGGATGCACCTCTGCGTTGAGCACTAAAGGCCTAGGCTGGCCTTTATTTTCATAGATTCATTAAGGTTGGAAAGACAATTATGATTCCCAAGTCCAATCCTAACCCACTTCCACCGTGCCCATAACCACATTCCTCGGTGCCACGTCTCCACAGCTCGTGAACTGCCTCCAGGGATGGTGACTCCCCACTCCCTGTGCAGCCTGTGCCAGTGCCTCACCACTCATTCTGAGAAAGTTTCCCTAACGTCCAACCTGAACCTCCCCTGGCACAACTTAAGGCCATTTTTCTTCTACAAAAAGGAAGGAAGTGAAGGAAGAGTGCAGTGCATGCACCTCTGCAGTGAGACCAGGAGCACCGGCAGCAGCCACAAGCAGGGCTGACCCAGGCCCTGTGACAGCTCAGGGGGATTTCAGGGGAGGCTGAGCTCAAGCACCCAGGCTGAGGCTGCACAGACAGCTCTGCAGCTGCAGGGGGGAGCTGCGTGCACACAGTTGTACTGCAGGGAGCATCAGTACCCCGCAGCCACCTGCGGCTGGACAGCAGCTCGCCTTGCTTGCGGTCCGAAATTCGATGCAGAATAGCTCTGGGGGAATAATTTGCCCTCTGGAAGCATCACAGCGCCATCTGCTGGGACTGCTCGAAGGGCTCACAGCCGCCGGAGCCTGATTCCCACCACAAGGATGGCTTGATTCTTCCTTCTGCTCAAGACTGGAGAGCCGGAACAGAGCTGAAAATGAGAATGAAATTAGAATGAAAAATAAAACAACCAAGCACTCAGCTGCCTTTCTTTAGCTAGATGTGTAGGGCCTGATTCCAACCTACGCCACTATCAGAGTATGGCTTCAGAGCTCCTTTCCTACCATCACACTTTCCCCGTCCCTCTGTCCTCCTTCCCTTCCTCCTTCACACCTCATTTCCCTCTACGGTCCCTCGCTCTCCGCGCTGTCCGGCTCTGAGGCTCCCTGAGGCACCAGCAGCCCCACCCGCTCCCAGCAGGAGCTCCGCTCCCCTCAAGCCCTCTCCACACCACATCCCCCGGCCCGAGCGGCCCCTTTCCGCTGGAGCCCCGCTCCGTAGCTCCGCACTCCGGGTTTCCCCGGCTCCTCCCGCTCCGCTCCACTCCGCCGTTCCGCGTTTCCCCGCCGACCGCGCCAGGCCCCGCCCCCCAGCTCCGGTTTCAGCCGCTGCTACAGGGACCCCCAAGATGGAAACGCAGGGGCTGCCCGCCGCGGAGGCGGCCCGGGCCCGGCCCGGCGCCCAACATGGCGGCCCCGCCGCGCCGCCCGCCGCCCCGGGCCGCCCTCCGCCTCCGCCCGACTGGGACCCGGCGGCCTCCGCCGCCGCCTCCTCCTCTGCCGCCAGCAGCGCCGCGTCGGGCCTCTACGTGAGCTTCCCGGTGCTGCTGGTGGAGGAGAAGCCGGAGCCCGGCGCCGGTCCGGCTCCCGGCCCCAGCGCTCCGCCGGCGGGCCCCGCGCCCGACAGCGACGGGCTGCTGCTCGTCCTCAACGTGGTGCGCGGCAGCGCCGAGCCCGGCTCGGGCGGCGGGGAAGCGGGGCGCGCCCGGCCCGGCCCTCCGCCCGCGGAGCCGCCCGAGGAAGGCCCCGGCTCCGCGCCGCCGCCGCCGCCTCCTCCTCCTCGTCCCCCGCCGCCCCGCGACGGCGACGGGGACGGCGGCGCGGAGGACGGCTCCTTCTCGGGGACCATCACCATCAACAACCAGAGCCTGTTGGTGCGCATCGAGAACGGCGTGCTGACGTTGGGGCCCGGCGCCGAGCAGGCCGAGCAGGCCGCGAGCGCCGCGCCGCCCCCGGCCCCGCCGCC